GACATCAGAAGAATGGGCAAAGATTCTATATGATGAGGCTTATGCCAAATATAGCATGCTACAGATCATAATTTCAGACAGGAGTCCTCAATTTGTCTCCAAATTCTTAAATGACTTGTACTGACTCTTCAATATCAAATGAAATGTGTCAATAGCATATCATCCCCAAATGGATGAACAAACAGAATGGATGAATCAAGAAGTCAAAAAATATCTTCAACTTTTCATCAACTATCATCAAAACAACTGGATAAAATAGCTAGCACTAGCTGCTTTCCAACACAACAACGGGATACACTCAGCAACTGGCAAAACACCCTTTTTCATTAACTATGGGTGACATCCACAAGTTGCCCAAAGTGAACAAGTCTATATGATAATGCCAGCATCAACAGACTTTGCCTCTATGATGGCAAAGATTCACTCTGAGACAAAGACAGCTCTTGAAAAAGCTGCTATTACTATGAAGAAACAGTATAACAAACACCAAAGACCAGCCTACAGATATTCAATCAATGACAAAGTTTGGTTGGATACTATAAACCTATATCTGCCTTGACCAAAACAAAAGCTGGCAGACAAATAGACAGACTCTTTTATTGTTCTGGCCAAAATCAACAACTCTGCATACAAATTACAATTACCATTGATCTGGAAGGTCTATAATGTCTTCAACAAGGTATTACTGACACCATATATTGCATCCACCTTTTCAAACCAAGACTGTCCACCACCTCCTCCACTGGAACTCATCGATGATGAGAAACACTACAAAATCAATGAAGTACTATGATATAAGATATGCAAAATCAAAGCCCACAGTAGAGGAATGACAACAACAGTTGACTATCTAGTCAGTTGGAAAGGCTATGGCCCAGAATCAAACTAATGGGTCAACAAAAAATACATGAATGCAGATGATGCCATATATGACTATGAACAGTGGATGAATTGACCAACAAGCAGTTAATGTCTTCATGAGTCTTACTCACAGAAAAAAAGAGCTGGTTAGGACTGGAATAAGATATTGTGGCCTCCCTTGGACCAGCATACTTATCTCTAAATTAGCCATCAGGACAATGGTCTTAAGGAGAGGGTAATATTACCATTTTTCCTATTTTCTTTTCTTTTTTCTTTGACTTATTCAGAATTGACCCCTATTTCTGCTTAGTCAGGGTGTCTAGCTAGTGCTTAGAACTGTGAGAGGGCTTAGTCAATAGCACAGCCCAGGTTCTACTGTGCTGCTGTGAAGCTGTTCAATGACAGAATACCTCTTTTGTCTTTGCACAGCAGTAACAGCAGTAACAGCACACAGCAGCTCAACAGCAGACAATACTCTTTTGTAGGTAGTTTGGCAACACTGGACAAAATGCTTTACAGTGCCAGAAAGAACAATTAGGTAGTTATATCTTTAGAATGAACAATGATTAGTATATAAGTAGTATAGCTCTCACTGTAGTAACTCTAGCTTTGAGCTAAAGTTTATTCTTCCACCATCTTATCTTGAGCAACTTCCAATGCCTTGACTACACAATGCCATCTACACATCAAGTGGACTGACATTCTAACCTGAAGTGTGAGGTTGTGTCAGTTTATCACATATTATTGGACATATGGAATTTAAGCTTAACAATTTTCAACTCCCTCAAAAGTTAAACCACTGGCAAGCCTAATAGGTAACAGAGTTATTTAAATACCAGTACACATTATATTACAAGGTGGGATTGGCCAACAAAAAGGCTGACCTTCTAAGCTGACATGCCAATCACAGTCAGAGGGAAGAAGACAATGCAGAGATGACATTATTGAAGCCTGAACACTTCTGAACCCTTATTATGCTGATAGAGGAGAAGATACATGCATGAATCCAGAGTGCAGTTTGACAATCAAATCTCTGAAATCAGGGGATTGCCACCTCTCTGAACCATGAAAGAGAGATCACCATGGTCAACAGTCTGTTACATTATGACAGACAACTCTATATCTCCAGGGTATCAGCATTATGGAGTAAAATTATCACCATGAGCCATGACTATATCATAGCCAGACATCCAGGGATCTCAAAGATGAGAGAATTGGTGTTACAGGAGTATTGGTGGCTAAAACTCAATCAAGACATTGACAAGTATATGAAGAAGTGTGAGACTTGTCAGTGGGCCAAATCTTCTACATGTGCTTGACCCACTCTGCTTTATCCAAATGAGATACTGACAAAACCATGGACTCACATTTCTGTCAATATGATCATAGGTTTACTGGACTGTAATGGTTATGATGCTATTATTATGATTATTGACTGGTTTTTAAAGGCTATTATTCTCATCACCTGTTCAATGGAATTATCATTGGAAGAGTGGGTGAAGATCCTTAGGAATGAAGTCTATGCCAAGTATGGTATGCCACAGGTGATCATCTCTGATTGAAGCCTCCAATTCATGTCCAGATTCCTGGATGATCTATATCAACTACTTGGATCTGCAGTAACATCTCAACAGTCTATCATCCACAAACTAATAAACAGACAGAATGTGTCAATCAGGAAATTGAGAAATATCTATGCATGTTCATAAACTATCATCAGGATGCTTGGACTGAATGGCTTGCCCTCACTGGCTTCTAGCATAACAACCAGATCCACTCAGCCACTGGTAAAACCCCATTCTTTGTTAACTATAGGTGACATCTCAATATTGCCCAAACTACATGGCACCATACCACCACTCCTGCTTCTGCTGACTTCATCACTGAAATGGCTAAGATACACCTGAAAACAAAAACAGTTCTTGAAAAGGCCACAATCACTATAAAGGCAAAGTATGACAAACACTAATGTTCCACACACACCTACTCCATCAGTGATAAAGTCTGGCTTGACATATTGAACCTTCATCTTCCTCATCTGAAACAGAAACTGGCAGACAAGCACACCAGTCTCTTCTCAATCCTAGCAAAAGTTGGTGCCTCTGCATACAAACATTAACTACCCTCTTCCTGGCATATCCACAATATCTTCAATGAAACTCTCTTAATCTCATACATCACACCCACCTTTTCCAATCAAGAAAAGCTGCCACCACTACTGCCAGATCTGATTGATAATGAGAAACATTATGAAATCAATCAAATTTTGAATCACAGACTCTGAAAAGTGCATACATGTGGCAGTGAAATGATGATGACTGTCAACTACCTTATCAGCTGGAAGGGATATGGACCAGAGTCCAATCAATGAGTCAATGAGAAGCAGATGAATGCTGATGCTGCCATACACAAGTATGAATTATCTCTAAATTAAGCTATTAGGACAATAGTCTTAAGGAAGGGGTAATGTTATGATTTTTATTCCCTTTTCCTTCTTTTACCTCTATTCATGCTTAGTCAGGGCATCTAAATGAGTGCTTAGAAACCATGAGACAATCTTAGTCAGCACAATTGACTATTGTTTCATGACACATAATAATGCTCCAACAATAGGACAATCTCTCTTTTGTAGGTAATCATGATACTCCAGGATGATAAGCACTATAGCTCAAGAATGCACAATTAGCAAGTATATATTTATCTATAAGGCAAATAGTATATAAATAGTGTAGACAGTGCTATGTATCCCTAGCCTCAAGCTATTCTTTATTCTATCACTTTATCTCAAGTCAACCTGTATTGACCTTGAGATATAACACTGCTATACACATTTAATGGACTCAGGCATGACTGTATGAACTCAATACAGTGCTTGTTTATCACATGTTTGTGGTCACATGTCACTTGGGTCTAATAGCATCTAGTGATCAGTCAGGATTATCAAGCAAATAATTATTCTCTTGAACTTCTGATCACTCAACACCATGGTTTGAAGATGTTGAGATTAGGTTTTCATGGCTTTAATATCATATTCTATTTATATATATTTTACTGCTTATCTTATATTTTGACATTTTTGTACCTCATTGACTTGACTCAGAACCACCACTGTCCTTACTCTATATGATGAAATATACCTTTTCTTTGAGTCCAATATGCCTTCCTCTGAATTGCCAGCACCTAAATTCCAACAGAAGGTTATTCACAGCATGTTGTTTCATGTGCAAATCAGTGACATGAATATTGATGTCACTGTTCCCATCAAACTTTGCTGCATTCAGCAATGCTTCAGCCTCAGAAAGAGCCATATCTGTTTTCTTTGCATGTTCCACAGCAACAGAGTCCCAGCATTCCTTTGCTGTTCTATCAGTCTTGACCTCCAGACCAATAGAGTCAAGAATGTTGAGAATAATATTTGAGTGAGCAAGCTGATCATGAAAAACCCACTCATCATATGAGGGAGAGGATGAGTATATGGGAGTAGGGTCTGGTGGAAGAGGCATGGTAGTAGCCATAGCTGTGGTAGTGGTGGCAGGGATGGCAGAACAGACAATAGTTCCTGCAATGTATCTCCATAGGCCTTTTCCCTTCAGTAACTCAGTAAGTTGGAGTTTCCATGAGGCATAGTTCTTCCTGTTGAAATGGCTACTCATGTCAGGGAGGATAGTGACTTCTGACATTGATGACATTGTTTAAGGGTGTGGTGTAAAGTGGTGAGAGTAGTGGTATGGTATAAATTCAAGTGGTAAGTTGAGTTGAAATTCTGTTGTGTATTCTTCTTGACTGAGTAGTTATAGGCAATGGAGCCTCATAACCTATTGACAGAAGAATATATGTGAGTATCTATGAACAAGTGTAAGTATCATAGTTATAAGCACAGTAGGAATATACATGTTGGAGGATATCCATATGTTTCATCTTATCTTACTTTTCAATCACTCATTCTATTTACCTTATATATACTTACACCTCCTGTCATTTCCTGATCACCCATATAGTCCAGCCGTTCCTACCTGTATGCCTCAGTCACTTCACCCATGTTGTGCCTGACTGAGGTATGTATATCCCTACTGTGCTTATGACTATGATACTTACACTCATTCATAGATACTCACATATATTCTTCTGTCAATATAGCCATGCCCAATGCAACAAGACATGGCAAACACCTAATTTGGGCTCCCTCCACACATATCGGTTTCCAACAGGTCAATCCGAATTACACACCCCAGGCTGAACAGCAGCACTTCACTCTGCAGACAGTACGCTTCCCTGACAATAACTTTCGTGCTGTCCCGCCTCAGGAAAGAGGAGAAATCATGTCGTTCACCAATAATTCCTTTGGTGCAGCAACCTACTCCAACGTGACTTTCACCCCAGATCGAGTTACATATAACGATACATTCAATGCGCCTGACGATACTTCCAGTGGTCAACTCTTCAGTTGGCAGCACCCATTGGAGTATGTTGCCCCAGTTCCGCAAGCCTTGCATTTCGTACCAGATGCCGTTGGTCATTATGGTTCGTACCAAACTTATGAAGCTACGGCGCAGACATATGAGTATGAGGGGGGCTACAGTGATATGTCGCGGCAAACAATGGACAATGGGTTGTTCGTAGGTGGTGAGCGAGTACTGCGAGATGAAGGAATTAATGGCGGTGTGTATTAGAACACATGAAATATGAAGACACCAAGGATGTCTGAGTGGTGAAGTGGGTTGCGAGTGCGAGATACAAAGAGTCAAAGCTCAAACTGTCAGACAAATATTCCAGAATAAAAGATCCTCCTTAATGCAATCTAGGTGTACAGATGAGAAAATATATATCGACGTTCCTAGATTATGGCAACATTACCAAAGAATTTTTTTTTTTTCCAGTGCCCAAGATGTAGGCGACGGTGTCGAATTTCTGGTGACATGTATATGCACAAAAAAGAAACAATCGTCATAACGATGAGAAGGTTTTAAAAGGAGCAGTTGATGGAAGATATGAACCAGATGTATGGTTCGACGAGAGTATAGACAAGCCAATAGCGGTGTTGACCAAGATCCAGAATATCACTCCGAGGATCCTGGGAGAACGGTGATAGCTAGTCGAAGACGCCATTTATGAGAGCTCCATTTGCATCAAGAAGGGTAAACTCAAAGTTTGTCCATTGCCCAGCCTGATGTCAGCCGTCGACCATCATATGCTTAGGGACTTCTGCACCGTAAACTGAAAACAGAGTCAGAGAAAGAGAAAGAGGGAAAGGATAAAGTAAGAGTTCACGGTAACATCACGATGTCAGGCCGGCGGTTCACAGGCTATACAGAGGAAGATACACTCAGCCATCATCACCGCCACGGAACCTTGTACGAGACAGGCGCTTGGATCCAGTTTCTCGTGCTTGATAACCAAGTTGAAGACTCGGACACCACCCAATCGCCACTGCACCTGCAATTTCGCGATTGAGGATAAGTATCCAAGTGGTACGCTCATAGCCAGAGCACGCATGAGCGCCTATTCAGTCTGACTGATCCTGACCCGAAGTTTGACACCGGGTCAGCGACTGCACCTTCCAGGGGATGAACGATTTGCCATACTTGAGGCGGGATCAATACTAGATGTGAGCACGATGCAGGGTGAATACGAGTAGAACTGCGGCGGCGGCGTGCTTCAGGTTTGACGGTGTTCACAGAAGGTTAGGCACACATGTCTTGAATGAGAAGGCTGTCAACATATGATCTTGGCTCCGAGGAACACTGTCGGAGCAGTATCTAAATGACGATGCCAGCTGTATGAGCAACTTTGCATATCCGCAAAGGGTACTTGGCACTTACCAGGGGTCCAGTAGGATGCGTTCTTGTGAGGTGACTTTCTTCTTCTGTGCTGGCCTCGTCGAATGCTGGATGCAATGGAAACAAATTGGTAAGTGCTGGTCCTGTGTATGCGCGTCGAAGAGGCGTTTTGAAGATCAACAAGAGATACATGCGTTTGATGAGACGCCGTGGTCTGAGAACCTTTGACTCCATATTAGGAGATGACCACTGTCTCCATGGTCATGGACAATAGGTAGCGCGTTGGGCCACACTATGGAGATAATGAAGAGGATGTCTGAAGAAGTGAAGACGCGCGCAACAACCAAATACGGGCGTCGCCATCACTGACCTTCAATCATCTCGTTGGTTTTACAGGCAAAGATGAGTGTAGATATACACGCACTTGTGATCCAGCACTAGCTCTCCTTCTCAAACGCAACCTTCCAGAACCCTGGCAACTCAGCTTCCTACTCATCCAGCCACAGCTCACACACCATGCACCAGCCCAGAATCTGAGAAGGTGACCTTGATGACCCTTCTCCCCCCTCGACTCTCTTCTCCATCCGGACGCGCTCATGAGACTCCTTGAGCATGTCGCGTTCTCTCTGAAGACAAGTGTACTTCTTCAAGAGCTTGAGATAAGCTTGCCTCCACCCCGGGTTTTCTTCTCCGCTACCATGATTTTCTTTATTCGCTCGCTTGCTGCGTTTGACCTTTGGGGGGTCAGCGTAGGACAGAGTATTATGCCCCGAGGGACTGGGGCGAGGACGAAGTAAGTTCTCAGTAAGGGTTGGTGTTTGCGGGAGAGGCGAGTGGAGAGGACTACGGAATATCCCCGGTAGACTCCAGTTGGTAACATCGCTACCTTCATCTTCCATATACGCGAGTCCTGGCATGAAGTTTGCCGACGAAAAATCAAAGAGATGCGTGACGTCGACAGCGGTCTGATAAGTCAAAATCAAAATTAAACATGCGCGCGTGCACTCAAAGTCAACGCACAGTTGAATCAGCAAGAGCGTCGTCACTGTTCCGCGACGTGAAGATGTTCTAGTGCGTGGAAATTAAGGTTAATGAATAATCCATAAACAAACAGGAAAATATAAGTACTTGACATGCAGATCTAGACGCGTTGTCATCTGACTCCGACTCGGAGTCTAATCCTGTCAAATCAATTCTCTTGCTTCATGGGTTTCTTGAACTGCAGATTTAAAATAAGACTATGGATGACAGTGCGCAGGGTCCACGTACATTTAATGGAGCACGATCATCGTTTATGGTGAGATCGATTGCCTCTCGCTTCAATGGTCTATTTCTTATCTAGCACAGCAGAATAAAACCAACAACTCGACGTCACAGCTAGGTGTAATCCATACCTCTACATCTTCAGGACCACCCCGGTTGAAAACATTTCCGATCTGCGCATTATGGATGATCAGGTTTCCTATATGGGAGGCGGCAGAGACAAACGACTTTGGCAGACAGAACGTCGTCGTCTGAACTAAGATCCAAAATCTCACCGATACCTTTTACCTGGGGCAGCAACGTTGCTGACAGCCAGGTGCCGTTAGCAGTCAGCAAATTACGCACGTCAAAGTTGGTACCAGGATCGTAGTCGTCATCGTCTAAGATGAAGATTTTTCTGTCGTCCATTCTGCTTGAAGATGGTCGTGGGGGTGAAGAAAGAAGGGGTGCTGACAGAGATAGTCCAACGAAGAGTCATATTATATTGGTACCGCATATTTATTCAGAGAAGAACGCGGAAAGGGTAGCCGTACGTCAGAAAACGAAACCAAAAGAATGCTGTCGTGGTTCTGCCTGACCCAATGGGGGAAAGAACTGACCAAAGGCGTCGTCCCTGATCCTTCCAATGATGATCAGTGATCATCAAAAGTGGCTGCTTCTGGCTGCGTTCTACAATGCACGAAAAGTCAGTTTCATTGTGCTCCGAGCTTTCATTTCTACAACTGTACATCCAGTATTCCTTGGGAGTTCTGTCCTTTGAAAAGGCCCAGCTATCGCGATTGAATTCTGAGACATGCAAATCTGTGTTCTGTCTAATGTGATGAAACATTCTTTTTCAAGGACCAATCACGGTCGTCAAGGTCGGTACCGGAGAAGTCAACAGCTCGTTGTGCATCAACTCCTCTCTGAAAGGTGAAGGTAAAATTAGAAATATGAACAAAGTATACGTAAAATATGCGAACTCGAATAGAAATGCAGAGATATAGAGATGTAGTTACCCTTTGAGAATGGCCATAAACTTCTCGAAAGTAACATGCCCACCCAGCGTCTTCTCGTCAAATACCGTATCCAAACGCTTGATGCGCGAATTCCTGACACACAAGGACTTTCCCAGTGCACAACGGCCAGTCGCCCTTAGATGTTCCTCACGAGCACTATATCCATCGGCGAACATCTCCCTCAGATCCAAGATCCACGTCACATTAAGCTCATCAAAGTCTTCACCCATAACATTGAACACCGTTTCGCCAGCCTCGAAATCCTTGAGGAACGTCATCTTGGTTTTCCACGCCTCTTCATCACCGGCGACCCACTCGCTGAGCACGGGATGAGCCAGTTGTGAGCGCGTGCCCTCTTTCAGGTTGAAATGGACAGCAGCCCAAACGAGGACGTAGAAGAATGACTCCAAGTCGTGGCGATAGAAGTGCTTCTGGTTTTCGTTGCGTAGGAGGTCGACGGCCATGAAGACGAACGTCCCTCGAGCACTTTCATGCATCCCAGGAATAGCTATGATGTTGCCGTTTTCGTCCACGCGGGCAGAGTTGTCCCAGTCATTGAGCATACCGATGGGTATGTCGTCTACGCGGTCAAACATCAGGTTGGTCCAACTGATATCCCGATGAAGAACGCGGCCTTTCTTGTGCGCAATGTGATGACCTGGAATTCTCATGAGCGAACTTCGCATCCGGACAAAGAGGATACTCGCATTCGACAATTTCGATGAAGATCTTTTTGAACTCTTGAAGGTTTCGAACCTTCCATAGGTGATAATAGCGTGTCGTTACAGTAGTGAGTAAATCGCGCCTCCAGAAGTATTCCTGCTCATCCTCCAAGTGAGATAGAGAAAATCGTGGCAGACGCAAGTCCATGTCGGAGCCGTACAAGCGACTAAAGTGGAGATCTGATAGGTGCTTCCTGATCTCTGGTGCCAAACGAAGGATCTTCTTGATGAGCTCAGTTTCGGCCACTGAGCCATCGCGCAAAACCCATGCGAATTTTAGGACCAGGATCCTCTCAAAGACATCGGTAACGAGCAAGATTAGTGTCCTTCGGCCCAATAGTTCTTCGCTACTGAAGAGCGGCCCATCGATGGCAGTAAAAACACGTTCCTCCTTCGTATCCAGATCCTCAAAAGTAAACTGGCTTTCCTTCCACTCGCCAGCGGTGTTGGACTCGAACGGATTGAAGCCCGCCTGTGTACGAAGTTGATTACACATCGCCCACATGACAAGAAGATCCTCCGATTGCCGGACGATATTGAACGGAACAGACCGAATCGATCCCATTGAGTCGTAATAGTGCAATGTCATATTGGCGTCTTCAATAGATATCAAGCAAACATGCATGCGATATGCCGCGCTCGTGCATTGCTGGGCGGAGGTACCCAGCCTGATGTCATCGTACGAGATGCAGATGCGCTTGAGAGGACGGTCATGTAATGGGTCGTCTTCAGGAGCTTTACGCTTTAATGACTTTGGCTTGACCCAGCTGGGAATGGATGCTGCTTGAGGACGATTGCAGATATTAGTAGCATTCTGCAATGTGTATCAGTAATCTTTTTCAATATCGGCATTGGGGCCATGCATATAGACATGTACTGGACAAATGACATGTCACCATTTGTCCTTGGAGAGAGGAACAGCCTTGAGTGGGGAGTCTGAAGCACTGGTACCAGGAACTGCCGGTACCAGAAAGATGGCCCCTTTAAATTGTTCAGCTAGAACTGGGAATCTAGAGCAGATGTCCTCCTGACAGAATTCTTGGACAACTGTGTTCCATAGGTCTTGGAATGTTTGTTGAAGACCATCAGGCTCTTGTCTACCAGACAGGATGTTAATCAATGATTGTAGCTTCCTTTGCATACCCCATGCAGGTGCTCAACTGTGAACAAATGCAATTTCTGTCATGCTTGTGCCAAATATGTTCTTCACTCATTGCTCCACAGAGACACCCAAATAAGATAAGTCCTCAAGAGTTTGGAAGAGGTCAAACTGTTCTGTGTTGAGAAAAGATGCTGGCACACTCATGTTAACAGTGATCAGAAGGGGATGGTGAACAAGAAGCAAGTTAAGCCAAGATGATGGTAGTAGAGTGGCAGTTATAGCACAATGAAACAAAGGTGTGCAGGTCCAGGTTTCTGATATCTGTAACATGTATAGTTTAAATTCACACACTACAGCACTCTACCCTTAACCATATGGCATGGACTCAGATACTATGTATGCACATGCGCGAGCACCAAGCAGCAGTATCACAAATCTTATTGTACCTGGCTTCTCTTTCCCAGAATATTCCCCTCCCTCGATGTCAGAGATCTTCCGAACAAAGGAACTCTCTTACCGCTGTTGACAACATTTACTTTTCGGGAGTCCTAAATTTGCTTCAACCTTTATTCGAATTCTATGCCTCTCAGCCCTAGTCAAGTTTGTAGCATGAAGTCTCAACTCCGTCAATTTGATGACCTTGCGTGTTTAAATGATACCAACAAGTGTTCCACATAGCGCTCATGTTAGACTAATTATACAGTCTCCAGCAAGCAAAAACGGTCCAAAGCCCGAAATTTCATGGTCTTCATCATTATATTATTATACATCTCGGCGACAGTCTTCTTGGCCTTTAACTGGGCTTATGTTGTCTACGCTTATATCAAGGACGGAGAAACTTGTGTTACCGTATTGCAGTCTCCCCAGGCACAGGCGTTTCGTTGGGTATCTGGAATCACATCTGGCATCATTGATACTGATATTGCCGACACCATCATGGTTTGTTATGGTGTTCAAAAATTCGTAGCTATCAACAAAATGCTGACTCCAGATTAGATCTGGCGCTGTTGGATAGTCTGGGGCCGTCGTTGGATGGTAGTCATTCTACCGATACTGCTTTTCTTAGGCCAGGGAGGCACGGCATTCAAAGTTCCCTACCTTCACATACACCACTAAATCCCCCCCGCAGTTTTTGGCTGCTTTGCTTTACACGATGATCTATATGTACCTTTTGTTCTCTTTGGGGACTACGTTGTTATGCACCACTTTCATTATCTTCCGTATCGTTACTATTAAGAGATCTACAGAGGGGACTAGTGCTGCGGCGCGCGCCTACCGTGGTATCGTCGAAATCCTGGTCGAGTCCGCCTTGCTCTAGTTAAGTGCCAACTTAGTCTTTTGTACGTTCCCAGTGATAGGAGATGGAGTCACAGTAGTGGTGGTTATCCAACAGCGAAGATATAGAATCTGGAGTTGGTCAGTCAGAATTTCTGACCAGAAATGGCGAGACGTACCCAAGGCGCCAGATACGCGTTGTCTAGCAACTGTACGACTCGTTCGGTAGAGAGCAATAATATGCTTAGCTTCCTTGTCTACGAGTGCGTGGCCCTTCCATTTGAGCGCGGCGCTGAGGATTTGAAGCAAGTGGGCGGACATCAAAGGGAGAAGCACGTCCTTGCAGGAGCTAACGGCAGCATATACCCAATATTTGTGAGCCTCCTCAGCAAGCAGGAGAATGACAGCAAACGGAAGTCCAGCGAGGTCTGGCAGTGGCTCTTTGCACAGAAATTAGAAGAAAAAACTCGTGTGTCCTGGATGATTTAGGCCCAGGACGTGGTCATCTTCGAAGGGGAATTTCATGCGGTACAACTAGAAGCAGATGCTGTAGGACGTGTCGTCGTCCGGGTACGAGACTGTCGCGAATCAGACTTGCAGATGGGCGAGGACGAGGCGAGCTCATCGAGGTGGTAGAGAGAGACCGGGTATCAAACTTGGAGTTGCCGGAGCACAGCCTCTTGTGCCGGTCAGTAATATCATATCAATACCACTCAGTTTCAACGGCTTGCAAAAGAGGCCGGGTCAATGTTAGCACGAAAATTACTCAATTTTTTCTTCTCCACAGCATATTACTACCAAAGATTCTGCTTTGGCCTATCCAATGTCTAGTTATTTTCGCAGGTGCGGTGCTTACGAGTACACTCCAAATTTTTCAGTTGTCTGATTGGTTCTACAGAAAGTTTTCCCTGGGTCTCGTTTGATTATTACGTGTCTCTGTGACATGCTTATGGATCTAACCAATATCTGGATGTCCTTCGCTGAAAACCCGAGAATATCCGCCCAATCCCCTCCCCCACAGTGTTGTCCCGTCGCTCGCTCAAATGCGTGCAAAAGGTTCTTATTCTTCCTCGTCGTCTTTGGACTCGCCGTTGCCACAGGTTTCTTCATCCTCGCCTCTGACAAAGCTGAGGCAGCTGGCGACATCCTCCTCTTCTTGACGGACTTGTGCGAATACGTCGCTTTCGGGGCCTTGCTGGAAGCTGTTTTCGCTGTGTTGCCGATGTTGGAGAGAAGTCAGTCTCAGGAAATCGGAATTGACCAAGGTGAGGTCAAGACGGTGGATACTCCTATACTGGATTGCATAGAGCATGTCGCTGGCTGGGTGAGTGCCTTCCATATGTGATGTTCCAGCCCATGGCCGCTCACACTTTTACTCTCAGGTAACGAGTGACACTCCACGCCACTCATACGGTGACCTTCCGCGTATCGACGCTCTTCACCCGTCAATGACATCCCCGGGTGATGTAGATTCCACATTGGATATCTCTGAAGCATAGGTAAGCATGGTGATCAATGCTGTTAATGCACAACTAACATCCATATCTCGCAGGAGATATCTGTGATGTCAGGTTCGGTCATCAGCCTGTACGCTACCGTCCCCGCACAGAAATTGATATCGTGCACGGCGGTCGGCTATGCTGCGTTCCGCTCCAGTATTAGCTCAGAGTCAACCCTGCCAGTAAGTCAGAGACGAGAAGGCATAAAACGCTTTCTCACCATCATGTTTTCAGGATCTACGGGCCATGGTGGAGACGATCATTTTCCCCTCTGTCAATGATCGTCCACAGGACGATCGCTTTTATGCCTTGCGTCGAGAGGTGTACAAGTTGGTCAGACAAGACAGTGAGGTGAGCTTCTCCGAATAATTTTTCTGATGAACGTGCTAATGTTTGTTGTCTTGTGGCCAACGACCCATATGTCCATCTTGTTGTTATTTAGAGACCTCCGGTTTTCCGATCCATTACAGCGCTCGGACACTAGTTCCCTTGGAGTTGTTGACGAGACCGGAGCATTCACTCCGTTGGATCCTAATTGGTCTTTAGGGACAAGGGTGAGTGTGACGCAAAGTATTTTCAGAGTTAGTCACAGCTGCTCACTGTTACCCTCAGGCACGCTGGTCGACCAGATCCTCGCAGAAATCGCATATCGAGGTTTACTGCCAGTCTCCACCGAGATTTCCAGCACTAGTGACTATTCTGCAGATGAGGCAGAGGCAAGCATTCTGCGAATTGTCATGAATTGTCTACTGACATTTTTTTTGATGTTAGGTAGGATACGCCCATGGCTCGGCGTTCATTCTCACGGCCATCGAACCCGGTCCTTCGTTCGGGTTCTTCAGATTCTTCCGTTGAAGATCTGGAGATTAATAAACCGTCAGAGGCACCGACAGCCTCGCCTATTGTCACGGATGTGCCGTCGTCGCGTATTCCGAAACTGACCCGGAAAAAGGGGACTGTCCCTCCCGTTCGGGTCACTGGACCCACTCACACCGGCAGGTCGTCCTCGTCCCCGTCCCGCATTCCAACCAGTCTGGTAAGGGGCAACGACCTCGAACAGATGTATTACCATGTTTCCTCGTTGCCGTCCTCACAGCCAAATACTAGACAATTCCGTTTCCCTGCACCCACCGACCAGGCACGCAAGAAGAAAGCGGCTCCCCTGCGTGTCGAGCACATTGTAGGGTGAGCCTTGATTCCAGTTGTTATAATTTTTTTTTACCTTTCTCACGTTGTTCCTAGGCCTGTTCTTTGCAATCCTCGCGATGAATCAACCATACAGAAACATCAACGAGCGCATGGGGATGAGAGGATGTTGATCGCACACTTGCTAAGTTGCCGTGTTCGGTACCTTAGGGACGACCAACTGGTCACTGGAGGAGGGCTGGTACGCTAACGAGTTTACCGGTCCTCCTTCTACCCTGGCAGATGAGGGAGCGTCGACTGCTGACGAGTAGATGATACGTCCTGTGTCACTGACACCTCATCCCATCGCGTGCACGACAGACTATGACATCCTTCGACTTCCTCGTCGTCTCCTGCCTCTCCCCGTTTCTCGGTCGTTTCACCGTCTTTTGGACCTTGCTTAGGACACCCGCACGCATGCTCGTCGCTTATGATCTGTTCATGATCTCCATCTACGTATGTCTCTGTGGATATCTATCCTCCACACTACATTCCTCGTAGGCTATCATTCTATCATCCTATCGCTCTCCAGCCCATATCATTATTGCTATTTATCATTCCTATTCCCTATATACCCTTTTCTACTTGGTCTTTTTGTATTTTCTCTTCTTTCTTCCTCTATTTGTAAAGCCCTCACCAATTTGCATTCTTCTTTTGAGGACAGCGTAACATTATCATATCTCTATACTCATTTCTCTTCAGGTTCTTTGAATGTCTCCTTTTTTGATTTTTTATTCGTGTTTTTGTGACGGTTCTTGCGAATTTTATCGATTTGTGATAAAGGATTGAGTTTAAATGCATTCAAGCTCACCGATCTGTCTTGAGTCGCTAAGCATGTTGTCGTATTTTGGTGGCTTTTCAAGGCAATGCTGTGTCCTGGACACCCTTAACGTATGCTTACTTAGATTGTTGTTCGTACTTTGTGTCTCATTGAACCGTCGAAGTCTTTGTCAAGATCTGGAGTTAAACTCATGGCCCGCAGTACTCGTACTGAACTATTTTGTGGTTGTACTCAGAACGTGCAGCTCAGTATGACATCAACCTCCAAAATGTGTGGATAAGTCAATTCTCAGGATAGAAACCTGCATCATACAATTTGTGAAAAGACTTCTGGTAGTGATAATCAAAGATTCCAGAGCCATAAAACATTGACATAGGTATAGTATGTACAGTACCTAGTTCATATACAACAAAACAAGATCAAAGACCGAAAGCAATAACATGATAGCAAACATTGACCGATAGCGATGGATCACAGGAAAGCAAATGAGAGCGACAATCAGGAGTGAAAATAGAAAAGAAGGAAGATGGCTTAGACTGCATTAGCAGAACGTGGAGGGCGCTCCAAACCTTCCAACCTCCTCTCAAGCTCACGTACCCGAGCCTCTGCATTCTGGCGAGCAGCTTCTGCTGCTACCAGAGGGGCATGATATTGCTAGATGTATTCTCAGAAAGTGCTGTTCTTCGAAAGAGTTGTGATTATGCTCACCTCTTTCAGTTGCGCCCACTCCTCTTCCTCCATAACCTTTTCAGCATCCCACTCCGCCTTTATCCTCTCTGGGGTCCTCACCTCATTCACAGATCTACCTCTCCCCAGAATCAACCTCTTCCCATAGCCCGTCAAGGAATGCGAGCATTGGCGACCAGCCAGCTCCTCCCTGTGTATATGCGGCTGTGTCTCCATCTCAAGGACCTTCCAAATCGTATAGGCATACCAATAACACTGAGCAAATATGAAATGGTACTGTGGGGTGTTTCTTGAAGTGGTCCGGAGCAGGTGTCCAAAATTCTCGAGGGCGACAGTCCTGTGGTTTTGCGACTGGGTGAGGTCCATCGTCATGAGAACATCGTACAGGCAGCCTCCCAGCTCCCTTGCAATGGCACTTCTGTTGGGCAAGACAATGAGCCTGTCGAGCGCATTGGGAGGATCACCCTTGGTGATTCTCTTGACTTTGGCACCGGAGCGATGGAAACGATTTGTGGTGCCCCAGTGTTGCGCATTGGGTAAGGCTCTGGAAGGTGAGGCTGTTGTCGAGGGCTCTGCAGATGATGATGCAGATGAATTCGAGTCGGTCGAGTCAGTGGTCCCCTCTACATCAATCATTTCCTGGCCCTGATGTCTGACTAAATCTGCGAGCAGTTCATCCGGCCCCTTGTACTCCTTCGTATCATCATTCAACCGGTCCACCATGAGCAACGCCGTCCGCCTAGCTCGCACAGATTCCTTCAGTGTCACGAACAGGAATTCATGCTCCCAGCGACTACCTGCGCCGAAGCGACATTTGCAGTACTCGATCTGGGTGACGATGATGTTTCCGAGGCCGTGGTCGAGGAAAGGAAGATTCTCTTTGAGAGAGCTGAGAAGGTTTGAGGCGTTGGTTACGTCCTTGTCGGATGAAAAGACACGCATCTCGTCGTTGCGTTGGGGGGGCATAATGAAACGTAGAAAGGTATGGAAGAGCTGAGTGAACCACAGAAATGGCTTCATGTCCCGCATCGTCCGTATTTAAAGCAGAGGAAAAACGAGAGAGCACTACGCGGCTTGAGGTAGCTGGTCGTCGGCATGAGGTACCAAGTTCTCCCACGATGAACATTCAATACGTTGATCTTTCTGCAGCACTGGTGACTAAAGGTATCAGCTCTCGAAACGAAGACCTTGAACCTGTTCCCTGGCTTCATCAACAAAAGGTCCTACTGGGAGCAAAAACCAACTTGAAGGCCGCTCCGCTGGCTGTATCGTCTACATGCAGGCGCCTAAATGCAGCAGTGTGATTAGCCAGAACGATATTAATCATGATCTATGAAAGCCTCCAGAGCACTGGTAGCGAATCAGCTGCACTTCCTTCAGCATATATGCATCGATTAGTACTTGTCTTCAATGTGATATGAACCAGCGTAATAGGATGCCACAGATATTTTGACAAAAATAGTCCCATACGCAGAATTGAGCAAGAACAGGGTACGAAATCAGTAGATTGATGATGATCAGAGTAGCGGGCCAACTGGTTCTTCTACGCTATAGATGCGGGGCCAGGAGACGTGCGAGGGATTGAAAAACAGGGTTCTTTATGAGCCATACTAACCGGACTAAGAGCCAAGGATGAAGACGGGGAGCTATACCAGGGAATTCAAGGAATAGAACAGCGACAAGTGTGAATCGTCCAGGTTGCCAGCACTGACTTCTTCCTCCATGAAGTGAAGAAAGCGAAATAGGCGAAAAAAACCCATGCCGCAACGGAGACGAACACATCTTCGGAGTACGGTACGCAATCCCCATCTAGAGTTTCTTATTTGAAACTGCGTTCCCCCGACGGGGACCAACGAGCCGTTGTGATACAGACTTCACAGAAAAGGAGGACTATCAGCATATTAGCTCAGAACGCGGACTGAAACGATCGATAAGGCCACTGCAAACAGCATACAGCTGTAGCGGCCAATCAGATCTTAATCAAGGCGTGTATTAAATAAATATTGCTCAGATGAGTACAAACAACTTCGGTGTGACTCGACAAGGTGGTAATTGGTTATATAGAGAAACGGAGCTCAAAATTTCCAGTTGTTAAGGATCAAAAAGAACAAATAAAAACTACAGGACCGGTTCATTCTATCCGACGACATGTTGACGACTGCGTCAAGTGAAATGGATAGCGAGCTGGTGAAGAAAGTACAATCACCCTGGGAAGAGCCAGGATTGATGAGAAGGCGAGAGTATGCAGGGGGAGAAATAGAGAAGGACGGGCTGATTGAATGTGACACAAGGGATGCGAATCAAAAATTGAAAATCAACAAAAAGAGCTCACCCTATCATGGCGACAGCTTGATAAGCACACCGCACTATAGCAGCATTAACCCACAATGGATAAGCGCCCACTGAAGCCATCCTTAAGTGAGTGTGCGCGGTTCGGGCCATACCAACAACTTGGATGTGCTACGAGAGTAACACGGCTGTAGGGAGTAGATGTTACAGGTGCCCTGCATGAAAAATAATTACCAAAGAGTCAGACGGAACAGATCAAGACCTGTTTCAAACCGGAATGTGATGAACACAAAGCTGAATGCAAGCGCTAAAAGATTCATGTATAATGCCTGGCACGCCCTTGGTTCCGATCACCGATGAACATGCACTTGGCATTGAAAAGACTAGATGTAAGGGATTCCCTGACCCTTAGACCACGGATCTGCCACGCCTTCGTCGGTACAGGTCTATTACGGCAATCAGATCAACGACTTACGAAGTGCTGTCGAGGGAAAAGGGTTGGTTAGCCCTTGACTTATCAGTTACAGCAGCTATCATCGTATTTCCCATTTCTAGGACCAAAAATGAATGGAAGATGAAAGCATATAATCTCTTGGACTTACCGATACAACTTTCCACCTAAGGTGATATAATTCACATCCATTCGTTGGTGACGAACGGAGTACGGAATAGGCGAGCCTGTGAGGACAATACATCGATAGGTCGGCAGCTCTATGCTGATATTGATCAAGAGTTCATAGGACGGTGCGGCGTCAATTGAGTAAATCTTTTCACCCTCGAATCAGAGAAACAGCACACGAAGTAATATCGTCATTGTCACGGTCATCGCAGAGCTTTGGCGATATTGACGAACCGGAGCATCAGGCAACACTGCAAAGCAATACTGATTACCATACGGAATATAACCAGAAGAGTGCTCACGGGTTGTGATTCTTCACCTGTCTCTATCTGACATAGACTCAGCGTTCTGGGTGCGCTTAGGCCGAAACAGTGTCCATAGCCTAGATCGTCGTTTCACAATCGAGCGTGTCGAAGCCAGCCGTAATTGCAAGTAGTCGCTTGTTGTCGAACTTGTGTGAATCCAAACGGGATCATCACTAAGGGAGAACATAAAATAGCGGAGAAGAGGTCTATGAATACTGTAGGAAACGCGAGATACGAAGTCATGGTCAAGATCACAGTTTCGTTTCGGGTGGGTGGCTACAACCCCACTGAGGCAACGGCGAACTTGAAGGGTAGAAGCCCTGTCCTCCTGTTCCCAACATTTTGCGAACCAGTAAGATTTTGCAACGGCTTATGGGCATTGTATTCAATTTTCCGACGGATATCGAGACATTTATAAGGCGCGAAGCAGTAGTGACGCTGACAATTCCAGCAGAAGACGATATTGGTCCTGTGAAGAATTCGTATAACTCGAAGAAGCACGCGATAGCAGACGAGCACTATCATAAGCTTCACACAACCACCTCGGAGTTATTTTGCGAAAGAGGAGCATGACATGATTGTACGGCGGAAAAATGGAAATGTTCAGGCTATGCGGTAGAGTTAGTATGATATAGAATCAGCCAGTCGAACGTACTTGAAGGCAGTCGATGAACCCTTCTTGCCCTTCACCTTCCTCGGCAACGTTTCATACAGCCCATTGTCTTCTCAACAAAATCACTGCACCCTATGCCTTCATATGAAGAGGTTAAAGTATGAACGAAATTCTGTCTTTAGGTACAAAAGAAAGTCCATTCTGTGGTAATATGTTTGACAACCGAGTTCTATGGGTCCGTCAGGCAGCAGAAAGGTTGTCACACATACTCTCGGACTACTGGGTGGGAGTCGCAAGAAGGATGACTTCTTACCGAAAATTCCGAATTCGCTGAATCGGACACTCGGACTGTTTGTCCGATCTCCTTTCCTCTCCGTTTCAGGAAGAAATCGGTTCTCCTGTGCATCCACATTTTCTTGACGAATCGACTGTTGGCTATGTTGACGTGTTTATTTCTTAGGCCTAAGATCAGTTAGTAGGGCCGACATGCCCTGATGTCGAAAACATGACACAGATAAATGTTTCGCTCCTCAAGGCCCCTTGTAAGCACCAGTTGACAAAAGGTTAAAGACATTTCTGATGTTGATCCATACTCAACGTTTGTGTGAAGGAGCTCGTTGGTAGAACTGCTCAGTCCTCTTCCCCAGAGACTGTTCTGCAGTTTCCTATTTCTAGCTGGGGCTGTTTTCAGTGCAAACACAGTGGGAGGGAATCAATAGATGATCAGTGTTCTTGGAAGCTGATGGACTGGAAGCGCCAGTTTGAACTTCAGTCCTCTTAGATGAGGCTTCCTTTTTTTTTGTTCATAGACACGTTACGTTTGAGAAACAACGCCTTATTGGTCTTCTTGCTTTCTCGGAACCGCAAGTCGTCGTCGGTGCAATGTTCCTCTCTGACTTCGTCTTCTGCTTTAGTCACTAGGCCTCCCTTCCATCGTGCCGTCACACAGGGTCAATTTTCAAATGAATCTCACGAAAAAATTTTATGGTAAACATGGACATTCAATTTTATTGCCGCAACAGTTTCACGGTAAACCAGACCCTCAACATCAACTGCTTCACTTGGCCTCAGGTAGAATCATAAATTTACATGCCACTGTCACTGCTTCCCCTTTGCTAGAAAGCAAATGTGCAGGTGATTATGTGTTGAAAGCCGACTCGATGTAAGTCTACATTATATTGATCTCATATCGACGCTTACCAGGCTCGCTGCTTTTCTGATACTACCTACATCGATATTATCTAGGTCTCGATTTCGGAATAAACTATTCAGGAGCCCCGCTCCTCCCCGGCGAGGAGCACCGGTACGGCGGCTTTCCCGGAACGTTGGCATGTGTGATGAAATGATGGGATCATGGAATTTGTCCGACAAGATTACCATATTAATACATTATCTACCGAGAATTCAATTTTTGCAAACTAGGGCAGTTAGGACGAGTATGGCCTTGAATCCGGCAATAGCCACACCAGTGTCCAGATACCACTGCATTCTCAGAAGCCACTGCATATGGATCTTGGCATGGGGCATCTCCACTTCCATGAGAATGACCTTCCAGAGCACCTGTGAGCCACTGAGTATGTGGATGACCAACTGGATTGAGAGCTGGTGGATCTTGTAGTCTGTTCTGTCTTTATTGCTGGATATCTTCCCACCTAGATAGACAGTGAGTGAATCCTAATGTAAGATGAGCAGTTAGGACCTAGGTACCTGATATCATGCAGCTGTTCCAATAAATCATCAAGCTATTCCTGAGTTTGACCTGTCATTGGGTAGAATTAGCATGCTAGATGCAGTAGATGGGATGTCTGTATCCCAGACAAAGTTTGACAATGAATATCTCAGTGCAATGCTGGGGTAGTCAAGGCCCACAATACTTGAAAATGTCAATTTGTCAAAGAAACTGTCTGAGAATTTTGCAGAAGGACTTGGTGACTGATACTTGGTAAAACAATGTAATGCAGCCATGACTTGGAGGGAGGAAAGTGAGATGGTTGAGAAAGACTGCAGAAAGGCAGTGTATTTATATTTTTCTCAGTATGATAACCACTTCAAGTAAAGCTACTGAAATGTCAACTACAATACAATGGACAGAAATGGATTTGACCTTGTTCATTACTACCCCCTGCCTGGTTTTCATTGAGAAGACATGGCTCAGTGTGTCACAGCTGTTGATGTTTGGGATTGAGATAAGAGTTGTATTACACAACTGTAGTTGGGGTTTGTAGCAAGTTCCTTCAACATTGGAAAAATTATAGCTACATATGTTTCTATAGTATTCTAGTAAGTTCCTACACTGTCCCAGAGTCTCCGTGTGCAGTCAGCAATGAACTAACTTCAGTACTTTCATCATCTCGAAGTTTCCGGATTTTTCCGGATTGATACCGAGTCCGGCATACTATATTTGGTATGATTGATCATGCTCGATTCTCGAAAGCCATCTTGGCAAGCAAGGAGTGGAACACATGAAATTATAACATCAGAAAGAACTGCTACTCTAGTCCGTGTGAAAGCTCAGTACAACAGTACAAACTATATTGATTTCTCAGGCAGACTACTTCGACTACAGGTTCTGGCTCAGGGCCATGTCTGATGAGCAGGGGGCATGGCATGGCATCATAACGGTCGTCATGTGCATAGTGCACAGCCTCCGGCTTGGATGGGTCCTCCAGCCGAGGCAAAGTCTTGAGAAACCCTGGGGCTCCTCAATAGCTTTTTCCCTCGATTTCTGTCCGGTCCAGACGACTACTCCAACATATGGTTTAACCTTTCGTGGAATCAGTGTCCACATGGCCAGTGCCCGGTCCGACTCCTCGTCAGAAACGGACGCCACCAAATTTCTGTTGGGCTCGGAGATATTCTTTGACATCACGTATTGTCCGGTTTTCCTCGGGCGTCGGGTGTTTGCGAGCAGGGGGATTGGTCGACAGCTCGAGGGTCGAGTTATGACGCTGCAGTAGCGCGGGTTAATTTACTAGTGCATCCGATGGGGTGATTGCCGTTATTGATGTGATTGGCGTGGGACGTTATGAGATCAGTGCGTATGGAGAACTTAACATCCGTTAGGACGCCACCTCGGACATGCAGGAAGGTATGTTATATTGCGCCAAGCAAATCGTACCTAGCATGGATTTTCAATTGTATTGTAGTTATGTCTAGTGAACAAACCAGTTATCCAGTTGTGCCCAAGGTTGCGTTTAGGATTTACTTCGATATGGACTGTCACTAAAGGTATCATGGTAATTATCTACAGGACAGAGTATTATGTGAGGCATAGATAAATGAGGGGCATACGCTAGCAGCAGCAGATAACAGATGTGTGTGATATGTACATTTTCCTTAAATTATTGCAAGGCCGTCAGATTATACAGAATTAGTGGAGCAACTATATTAAGTTACGCCAAAAGAGCATAGTACGAAAGAGGAAATAACCCGCCAGCGGAACTTAAAGTCCCAGATCGCTGTCCGAAGGGGAATACTGTTCCCCATATCCAGAAGCCAGTATGTGTCCCCGCAGCGAATAATGCGGATCCGTGCTATTCAAGACTAGCAGGTCATGATGATCCACAGCCCAAGCCGACGTCTGAGGTTGAGACATGCACGCGGTTGGCCAATGAGAAAAGTTCCGATCAGAACACGCGTTGAGAGGTGGCGGTATCGCAACGTTACACGCCGGCGTCTCCGCAAAATGGGGTGGTAGGGCAGGTCCGGTCGACGAACGAGAGTAGAGAATGGGCGAAGGTGTTGGGTATGTATGTGAGAATTCGTAGACAAGGGACAAAAGTATTACCTCGTCCGACGGTCTAGGTTCGATGATGGTTTGAGTCACGGTACACTGTGCTAAATCTAGGCGGGCTGTTAGAGAAGAACGTTACATAAAAGAAGGGTATGGCAACGTACCATATCTTTCACACAGATGTACCCAATATTCGGGTAGGAACTTGGTTCGGTAGGCATAACAGGAGGCAGGGTTTGCTTGCTCCGCGTGTGGGAGCAACGGTGATACCTCCGAGTGCACCGGTACATTGTTGGCATAGACAGTGAAGGAAGAAAATGTAGAAGCTGATGTAGGCCTCGAAGAAGTGAATGTCACGGTCGGGGAAAGTGTCCAAAGAGGACGGTCGGCTGAGAGAATGATTCGGCGATGATAGGAAGGCTTAGGCGGCACTGGTTCAAAAGAATGTCGTAAGGGAGAGTGACCACGCCGGGTGGATTCTTGGTGACAGATCTCGATGCGAACGACGACGTTGCGAGGTATGGCAGGGAGCACCTGATACCCAGTTTCATCAAAGGAGACGCTGCTGAGCGGGCTCAAACGAGACGATTCGGAAGATAATTCGGTCGAGGACGATGCAGTACACTCTGATAACGGCGAGGCCAGAGCGAAGTCGGTCGTTTCTGAGACTGGAGAATCAGCGGAGGTGTCCGTCGAGGATGAATCTGGCTCAGGAGAATACTCTCTCCGTGTGAGCAGCTCAAGGACTAAGAATGGTCGTCGTGAGTGGAAAGGAATATTTTGAGTCCTCAGATTACTCACCTCTTTCGTCTTCACATGTATCACGAAGTTGCTGAAGGCGACTCCCCACTTGCTTTGCCGTCCTGCTTTTGCCCGTCTTCTTGAAGATTTCGTCTGATATAAAGATATTCCGTTTGGGAAACCGACGAAACTCTTTGGGATTCCTAATACTTGCGGAATGCGGACGATATTTTTCCAGAGCTGGACGGTCGGAAATATGAGTGGCAGATATAAATTTAATGACGACGAAAGTACCTTCTATTAAGGCCGCTTCAATTTCCGGCGGCCAAACAGGTTCGTTCTGTTTATTTTTCATCGTCTTCCATGATTTCCTACCTGTGATAATGGTATCGGGACGAATTTTAAAAGAGCGAGAATGGCGTCGACTGGGGGTTGGTCGAAGATTTCCTTCCATTGTCGGGTATAGGCTATTGAAGACAGGAGAGAACTGAAGTTCGTTGCCCATGGGCGGCAGGGATTTGAAAAGAATGACCCTCGGAGGCCGGGCCATATATAAACCGCCCAGCTAAGGTGGCAGAATACCCATCATAGGTCTGGTAAGATCCAGATTGCCTGCCAAGTGCCTTGTCTTTAGCGGATGGATCGAATGCAGACGGCGACTTTATGTTCAACAAAGCCATTATGCCGTCACTTCGATACCATGGTACCCTATACATTGCAGAAAAAAGCGGCCTTGAATAAGAATGATCGGGGAACAAAAACAGTAAGCCCAAAGAAGTTCCTGGAACCTGATACTACGCGCACAACTGTTCCACTTTAACCGGATGCAGAAAAAAGACATTACGGTATTTTTGTTGGAGACCGCCATTCAGTTTTACGTACAGATCGCCAATGGGGCCGTGAAATGCCGGCGAAATTTAAGACCGTAATATGCGGGAACAATGTCATTTGGACCCTTTGGAGCGATTTTTTCGCTTCCTGAGTGAAAAGACAAGGGCGGGCAAAGCAACAGAACCACAAAGAGAGAGACCTTCGAGAAAATGACGCAAGAAACAGATTTAATAGACGTACATAGAGATATGACCGGCGCAGATGATCAAAATGCAGATTTGGTGAGAACCGGCAAACCTGTTAAACTTGGTTCGAACTAAAAATTTCAAATTCATTTCTAGCTGATGATTGTCTTTGTTTGCATCTGAGGGTCTTGCGGCACCGAAAAGCCGAGTGGTGACTTTGTTTTTGCTTTCCACCATTGTGCTCAATGCATGCTTCGGACGATTCGTCGACGGAAGACGATGCGGCATCGCAGACGACAGAAGATGATCCTCAAGTCCCGGAACTCAGTGGACAATCTGGTCCACCACCGCCTGCGAGAACTGCTCCCGTCGCATCTTCAACAACGAGAGAAAGACCACACTACGAGCTACGACATTCAATGAGAGGTCATACAAAGTCAATTTCAGCTGTAAAATTTAGTCCAGATGGGACGTTCTTAGCTTCTTGCGGTAAGTCGAAGGTGTTTCTTTTTTTGACGGTGCTGTTGAAAACTTTCTTTGTCAGGTGCAGAAAATATGGTCAAGATCTGGTCCCCCTTTACTGGAGAACTTATACGAAATCTAAATGGACATACCGCCGGCCTCTCTGATATCTCCTGGACCACAGATAGCGTCTATTTGGCCTCGGCGTCCGACGACAAAACTATTCGAATATGGGAGGTCGATACTGTATGTATTGATAGCGTTAGTATGATTTCAATATATCCTGATGGTTTTTGAACCAAGGGTCTGACTGCAAAAATCCTGAAAGGCCACGCCAAAGAAGTGTTCTGCCTCAACTACAATGCCGCGTCTAATCTTCTTGTGTCTGGGTGCTGTGACGGAGATGTCAAAATCTGGAATACAGCCAGAGGTTTTATGCATTGCTATACTTATCCTCCTGACTTTGATTGAACCTTGTTACCGCAGGCAAGTGCATGAAGACGCTGCATGCACACTTGGATTATGTGACGGCAGTGCATTTCAATCGGGATGCGTCTCTGATCGTGTCTTGTTCCTTGGATGGCCTAATGTGCGTTCAGGAGTTCACAAGTGATCAAGGCTAACCTGTTCCTTGATACCAGACGCATATGGAATACAAGCGATGGACAGTGTCTGAAAACCCTTGCCGAGTCGCAGGATGCAATCTGGTCGGTCGTGTCATATCGGGTTTCCCAGTACTCTGACACTGCCGTTAGCCAACACGTGCAGTTTTCCCCCAACTCCAAGTATATTCTTTCTACGGCACACGATAGTGCGATACGATTATGGGATTATCAGACCAATCGCTGTCTAAAAACATATGTTGGCCATTCTAATTCGAAGTACTGTATATCGGCCTGCTTCAGTGTTACTGGTGGGAAATGGATCGTAGCAGGCAGCGAAGATCATAAAACCTACATTTGGGACCTGCAAACACGAGAGATCGTTCAAATTCTTGAAGGACATACCGGTACGTTTCTCAACCACCTGACCTGACTAGCACCAACACTGTCTTGTTTCAGACGTCGTCGTCGCAGTCGCTGTGAGTATTGTGTCGTCTTTTCTCGCCCAGGAACTGACATACCCCTTCCAGACACACCCCTCGCACAACATGATTGCAACGGGCTCCATTGACAGCGATCTTACCATCCGGATATGGTCTGATCGCACAGGCGAAGCCTGACGCCGACTTTGTACTTTTTTTTTAACGGTTTTCATGACGACAGTGTAGATTTACTTTCAGATCATCAATAACATGTACATCTTGGTGTAGAAAAGGGGTTAGGCTGGAAGATACTCAGTGTTGATAATACTAATACATGGTCCATTAAATGCGACAGGAAATTGTTGTGAACAGAAAAAGAAAGCATTGTCGACTGTCCGGAACGATTATGATGCACGTGGTTGGCTAACAGGTTCGGCATTCAACAAATCTACCGCAGCGAAGAGTTAATTGACGTCTGACAGGTAAGTGATAACCTCACCTTTAGCCACCTCTTTGTCCGCATCAGTTAATCCGGAATCATGCGCTTCTAGGAAAGCGTCGACCTAGACACTGTTTCAGCCAGGAGCTATATGATGCAAGGCAAAAGCAGACGAACCTCGTCCATGACGTTGTCGCCTCCGTCTAGTGTATCATCACCATCAAAGTCTTCATCGTCGTCGTCGTCCTTAGCATCATCAATGGCAAATGCAGTGCGTTCCATGAGCGCAGCATTTGCTGCTTGTACCATAGGCATCGGTGAGAACACAGAGTCTGCTGTAGCACTTGTTATATCCACACTAGGCGTCGAGGATGAAGCTACGAGCGTCGAAGAACTCTCGCTCGACTCGAGACTTGCTTTCGACGAGGAGTGCCGCATAGATGGCGTGAGAAGCGACTCCCGAGCCTTGGGTTCTTCAAGTTTCGTGTAACGTCCGATAGAGGGCCGATGAATCACCTTCGGGGATGCCGTGGTCAACAAACCGGTTTTACCACACAACTCCGCCGCTACTTACCTGATGTTTCCCAATCGTCTTTCCAATCTCATCTGTGAACATGTTGAACATCCTCTTGTTACTATCCGTGGCAATCGTAGACCAAATATCGCCTAATAGGCCACTGTTAGATATCGGCAATTCCATGTCAGGTAGGGGGTCAAGTCTGAACGACGCTGACAGGTCGGTCTCGAAGAAGGACTCAAGGACCTCATCTGCCAGTACAACCATTCGGAATCTAGGTGACAAAAATGAGCATTCTTCATAAAGTTAGGAGGACCTTTGGACACATACGTCGCTAAGTTCAGATACGGCTGATTAGGCGCAATATGCGGCGGTGACGATAGCTCGCCATCCTCTCCTGTTTCGTCTTCTGGTTGGGGTAAAAGAGCATCTCCATATTCGAATGCATTAGTCATGAATCGACTGACGGCTCCGAGGTACGCATCCCCAATCTCATAACGAAATATAAACTAAAGCAGGACTATTTTAGAAGGCAAAGTGACAAGCACTGGGAACTTGACATACCAGAAATGATTCCGAAAGAGTCAACACCTCATCTTTGGTGAGATAACCGTCTTTGTTCTTGTCGTGAAGGTTGAAGAACCATTCGATATTCTCCATTAGATCATTGAACATGACGCCGTCCAATCCGGAGACAAGATCCTGTTAACGCCGATTCAGACGTGATCTAGACATAAAAGCAAGGGGTAAAAGTACCTGGAACGACAGGGCACCGCGGCACGACGTATCCCAAAAGAAGAAAAGGCGATCAATGAATTCGTGCTCTGCCATTTCACGATCAATACGTTGCTGAAACAATTAGTGAGAAAAAAGGCCAGGAGGAATGATACTAGGGCAAACCTGGAAGCCGTTGCGGACGATTCGCTCGTCCCGTGCCCATGTCGCGATTTCGCTGAGGAAATACTGGAATGTCTTCAAGCCAATCCTGGTCTCAGGCTTCTCTTCTGTCCCGTCGGCAGGTGTCAAAAGACTGGGAGGGAGAGGCACAGCCGGTGGAGGAGGGTATATACACATTGCCCTGTACAGCGAATCATAGACAAGCCCAGCCTGTTCTTTGTTAAATCTGCCTAGACTTTTGAGGTTCCGCACAGCAGAACGTTTAGAAAAAGACTCTATACTATGGATGATCTCGCTCCTGAACCGCTTGCGCTCTGAAAGGATCATGTCGTCCGTTATGACCGAGAATTCACGGAATGACACCAGAAGGAGCTCTTGGAAACGTGTTATTGCTCGCGCACGAGGATCGGTCGAGTTCGGATGTGCAGAATCTCCCAAAGATGCGAAATAATCTCGCATGAGACTTGAGATGCAATTATCAGATCATAAGCGACAAGAAGAAGGACGGAATTTACTTGAGAAAGTGGCCGTCATCTTGGATCTGGAGAAGCTTCTCCCCATTGATCTTGAGAATAGCTATTGACAGAATATGAGTCGACATTCAACAAGTCAGCCAACGTGCTAACCCAGTCTAAAATAAGGAGGAAATTTGAGTCGCTAATTCAGGGATATTTATAGCAGTCGCTTACCCCACTTGGAATAGTACTTTCGGGCCCATGCAGAAGAAACAATCCACAACCCGAAAAGCGAAAATCATGGGCATACTGTTAATATACCTGTGGCGACATCAACATAAACCAAAGAACAAAATAGCAGACATGCACCCACAGACTCAAGAACCAGGGCAACGACGCAACCGAAAGTTGAACATCCACCTCTTGGAAATGGTCGTGAATCATCGGCAAGCACCGTTGGACTAAGGACTCAAAGACTCGCTGATCTAGTAGTGTTCCATGCATGGAGGGGCTGTAAAGGACTTAGATCGATATTTTCCACAGACGTCAAGGCGACGTACGCATAGTAACCAGGAAGTAGGCGATCACATAAAACTTCTAACAGCCAAAATGCTTGCTCTTCCGACATATATCTAAAGCAATTATAAGTGGATGAAACACCGGGGAAACTTGGCCACATACATAAGAATGGCTGCTGCCAAGATATTCATTGCCTTTCGATTCCAAGTCAGGGTCTGGGTGTGACTGCCAACGAGCTACGGACCTGACAATAACCAAGTTCGGGATTCTTGAACGAATAAGCCTGCAACACGCGTCGGAGGGCGCCGATTCCTTCTTCAGACTGGTAACCTGCGTACTCTGGCAAACTCCTATGAAGATCCTTCTCAATATCCTCCGTGCTGGTACTTGTCCGTCCCTTGTTCTCCTCTAGTATCCGATCATAGCAGCCGGGGTTGGAAAAGCGCAGAAATATGGAGCCGGATAAGGTTTCCCACATCTCCCCACGAAGTCGGTTAGGTAGTCCGACTTGTACAAGGCGGGTACATTGAGGGTACCGTAAAAGGGTGAGATTACGACCATGCACTTCCAAGACGAGTCAGTCAAACACGTTGAACATGCGCCGGCGCCTAACACATACTTCGCAAGTAATTTGTCCATAGTTTAATCTTGGAAGCTTCACGAAGCCTAAGTTTCTCTATATTAGCAGACCCGTTAAGCAAAGATAAAGATACACACTTCTTTGGATCTCCAGGAAACTTGAACCGTAGCCCAAGACCGCCATGGTATGTCGTCTCCGGAGGCCCCGGGTGTTCCTTCTCCTGGCTAATAAGGCTCCCATCCTCTCTCTCCTGATCCGCGATAGAAGACGTCGTGGGCACGAGCGCTTCTGAATAACACGTCTTCACGAACCCCTTGACAGCCTTCATCTGCCCACGCTGTAGCTCAATCTTCAATGCATCACGCAGCAACAAACAGAACTGGTCTGCCGCCGGTCGAAGGGACGTCAATTGGACGATCTACGACCATTCAATGCATGTGTCACCACCACAAGAAAATGGTGACTTACCAATTTGCCACCATGGAAGAGAGAAAGGCTCAGTGCATAGATACCCGCTCGAGCATTGAGCCGTTCGACGCGCCGTATTGTCGACAGCGGGATGGTGAAGCGCACAGACTTGCGGTCGAGTGATGTAAAGGCCAGATAAGGAGCAATGAGATACAGTTTACCCGCCTAAGAGGCTATCGGTCAAGGGTCTCGATGCTGCAAGACCGTCGCTGTACTCACATACGAATCTTCTTCTCCTTGTACCCCCAGGCTCAACACGGCATTAATATCCATCTTTTCAACCTCCTCTTCAGGCGCCTTCTCGGACGGTGAGCCATTGGGCGCCGGTGTCGCAGGCAAGGAGAAGAATATTTGTGTTAGCTGTTCTTTCGTCGGCTCCTTGAAATTCCGTAGCGCGGTGGAAATCGTCGACATCGCTGCCCGTCGCTAGGAACTGGAGAGTATGAGGACGAGGTTGATGGCCACCCCCAATTCCCAGGCGATGAAGGGTGACGAAACTGAGCAAGTGTCAAGAACGATGGTGGCTGTGCAGCACAGTGATTCGTTCGAACATACTATTTATTTGGCGGCACAATTTCTTTAGGCTTATTTTATGTAAACTCTTCCGTACATTTACAGTATTATCAATGAAGAATGCACTACCGGTACAAGTCGTTGTTGATAATAAAAGAGCTACATAAAGCAGCATTACCTGAGACTGTACCGGAAATCAAACAGATCTCTGGAATAGCAACATCATGTAAACGGGGAAGAATCAGAGACGAGGAATCAAAACTTACCTGGGCGGAGGTCTACGAACCTCATACCTGACATTGTCACTCTCTTCTCCTTCCTCTCGAAGAATCACAATCTTTGCATACGCATTCCGCTTCGCATCGTACTTGTAATGATCCAATTCCCTCAAATTGGGACATAACATGAGCGCTTGCATGATTGCTTGGTGCATCTTGTCAAGGTTCCCATCCACGGCTCTCCATAGTGACATGCCTTCGAATACTTCTAGAGCGGGTAAAAGGGAGAATAGGTGCAGCCAATCGTCCTAAATACGTTTCAGAAGGGGGAAGGAATCATGGCACGACGCACTCACTAGTTTCATATGATATTCGGGGAAAGATAGGCGAGTGATATTTGGACATTTTTCGGCCAAGGTGAGCAGGGCGTCGTATGTGTTACCTATCGAACAGGTAAATCTAACTTCGCGAAGGCAGTCTGCATTGATCTCGTCCAGATAAGCGAACATCGCTGGCTCAGCCGTCGTTTCAACACATTCGATAGGCCGGGGTGACGCGTAAATCGCCTTGAGCAGTAGCTCGCTTCCAAACACGCGCCGGATACGAGGAAGGGAGTCTGGACTTAGACCTCCAATCAGAGGACCCAAAGGGAACCAAGCCAACTCTTCAATAGTTGGGTTCTTTTCTAAAAAGCGAACCCAAGACTTATCGAGGGACAGCGTCCCGCCTGATTGGAGAAATATATTGACTTTTTTGAGTTGCGGAAATACGCAGCCGGAAAGTATGGTCAGCTCCATCGGCACCTTTAGAACCTGAGTTGATTCTCGCATCAGACAGTTGAAATTAGATATCTGGATTACCATACCTCAATCGTAGGACATGCTTTGAGCATAGACTTCAGAAAAGGCCCGATCTGAGGCCTAACCCAGACACGGCCCACCAACGACAGATGTGTCAGCTTTGTCAGATTCCAGAGCTGCATAAAATCAAAAGCATGTCCCCCATCAGCAAACACCAAAGTATCGTGACCGTCCGGAAACTCACGGGATATATTGAATTATGACATCCAGGCCTAGCTTCAAATGCTCCAGCCAGCGCCACTTTTCTCAGCAACGGTTTGCTAACCAGAGTACCCAGAATCTCCGCCTCCTGCGAGGGGGTGGCCGTCGGCTCTGGAAAAGGATTATACGTACAGGACCAGGTAAAGACCCGCAGACGATGCATATTCTGGAGAGCCATACACATGTTCTGGACTCGTGTCTCCTCGCTTCCGGTGTCATCCACATTGCATGGAGGAACCAACGTGGTGGGGGAATGGTCTGAGGCGGAGTGATTGTGCCGTTCACAGACATGTACCTCGCGTATATTGCGTGCCAGGTCAGCACGTTTTGCGAGGTGTGCCCACATGGAGGGAAGCTTGTGCCGAATGCGAACTATGCGATATTCGTTGTGTCTGGGTATAACAAGTCGAGTACATGTTCGGGATACCAGAGCAAATGAGATGAGGTCACGGTGAAGATCAATTTCGGACAATATCTCGTCCAGAATTTCTTGAGGGAGGAGTAAAACTTGGCAAGTATTTTCCCGGAGCATTGCAGGAAGAGAAAGGAAGGGAATACGTCTGCGGGTCGGGCTGGTCGCTGGGAAAACTGTGGTTCCAGAACAAGTGATATCATGCTGAGTGTCACTTGCTTAAGTACAGCACTGCGCTAATAACGGGGGATAAGTCGCTCCTTTTTAGGCGAGCTCTACTGTTCATCTTATCTCGGGATGATCCGAACCAAGTTCGATGCGCCGAGAACATTGATGTAGAAAACTTCTTAATGAACCGCCTCAGAGAGAGATGTCTCGACTTCGGACTAGATCTTGTACGGGTAAAGTGTATCTGTTACAGGCGGCCAGTTCTCTCATTTTCTTATAATCTCCAACAAATCGCAACTTGAAGCACCAAGAAAAGATAGCGTCTTTCTCCCCAGAGCGTAGGATGTGGCGCAGGGAGGATGAAACAGGCACTCTTTGGATTTTTGGATTCTACTACCGAGGTCATAGATCTTCGAGCTTTCCTCGAGCCTAACGAAGCGAGAGTCGCTGCACTGATGCTTCGGGCTCAGGGCTGATGTTCCTTTGCCGAAGTGTTGCAAAAGCATTTGGGTACTGTATATTATGGTCTTGAACCGTGGACGATCATTTAGCTATGGGATGACCGGTCTAGTAGCAGCTAGTACAGACGGACTATGTGAGGGAAACAATTTGAAGACTGGGACGTAAATTCATATTCAGCTGGATCCACATCACGAGCGGCTTCTCGAAAGTGCAATGTGAAGAATGATGGACGGATCACAGGAAGCGACCTTCCTTTCGCTGATGGGAAATTTAAGGTTCAATATGAGCATTGGACGATAGGTTCAACACCGTAGAAGGGTATCCGAGTCACCAGGTAAATAAGAACAAAGGTACGAATGGCCTTCACAACCCAAGTAAGCCATAGTTGAAGGCGTCCAGGAGATGTTATCTTGGAAAGCCACCAGAATGCTGTCACTTACTTAGGGAGTCGAAGCAGGCCATTGAACTTAAATGTAAATTCAAAACCCGATCACAAATCGATAAAGTTCCTAAAAACCGACATATAAACACAAAGGAAATCGAAAAGGAGAGGACAGTAAAAGAACCTGAAGAGAAATGAGTATAGGGATGTGATAATGTTAGGCTGTCATCGAAGGACAATGCAAATTGGCGAGGGCTTTATGAAGAGAGGTAGAGAGAAGAAGAGAAAATACAAAGAGAACAAGTAGAAAAGGGTATACGGGGAATAGAAGTGATAAATAGTAATAATGATATAGGCTGGAGAGCGGTATAATGATAGACCGATAAGCTGCGAGGAGCGTAGGGTGGAGGATAGATATCCACGGAGAGATACGCAGATGGAGATCATGAACAGATCAGAAGCTATGAGCATGCATGTGGGTGTCCTAAGCGAGGTCCAAAAGACGGTGAAGCGACCGAGAAACGAGGAGAGGCAGGAGATGACGAGGAAGTCGAAGGATGTCATAGTTTGTCGTGCACGCGATGGGATGAGGTGTCAGTGACACAGGACGTATCATCTACTCGTCAGCAGTCGACGCTCCCTCATCTGCCAGGGTAGAAGAAGGACCAGTAAACTCGTTAGCGTATCAGCCCTCCTCCAGTGACCAGTTGGTCGTCCCTAAGGTACCCAACACGGCAACGCAGTAGGCGTGCGACCGACATCCTCTCATCTCCATGTGCTCGTTGATGTTTCTGTATGGTTGATTCATCGCGAGGATCGCAAAGAACAGGCCTAGGAACAACGTGAGAAAGGTAAAAAAGAATATAACAACTGGAATCAAGGCTCACCCTACAATGTGCTCGACGCGCAGGGGAGCCGCTTTCTTCTTGCGTGCGCCTGGTCGGCATGGGTGCGGGGAAACGGAGTTGCCTAGTATTTGGCTGGGAGGACGGCAACGAGGGAACAGAGGGTAATACATCTGTTCGAGGTCGTTGCCCCTTACCAGACTGGTTGGAATGCGGGACGGGGACGGGGACGGCCTGCCGGTGTGAGTGGGTCCAGTGATCCGAACGGGAGGGACAGTCCCCTTTTTCCGGGTCAGTTTTGGAATACGCAACGACGGGACACCCGTGACAATAGGTGAGGCTGTTGGTGCCTCTGACGGTTTATTAATCTCCAGATCTTCAACGGAAGAATCTGAAGAACCCGAACGAAAGACCAGGTTCGACGGCCGTAGAAATGAAGGGCGAGCCATAGACGCGTCCTGCACAATATTCAATGTTAGTAGGTAGTTCACAATAATAAATTGACAACACTCACTGGGACCTTGTCCGAAGAATCTTGTTGAGTGCCAGAAATCTCGGTGGAGACGGCCGGCAGTAGGACGCAATGGGTGTTCTTCCCATGGGCGCTTCCAGTGTCGTCAAGGACTCCAACAGAACTAGAAGCCGTCCGCCATGAACAATCGGGGGATCGTAGATCCCTCACTGACAGTGACGTCGATACTTGGGCCATTGGCTACAAGACACAACATATTAGCAAGTTCATCGGAGAAATTTATTAGCAAAGCATACCCCGGCAGCCTCTCTGACGTCCTCATATACTGCTCGACACAATGCAGAAAAGGCATCGTCCTGCATGAGATTGTTGACAGATGGGAAGGATATTGTGTCAGCCATCGTGCGGAAATCCTGAAAACATAAAAGTGAGTAATGGTTGTGCATATGTTCCACGTGAAACTTACATCAAGCAGAAGGCTGCCGGATGGGAGGGGACCTTGAAAGGATGCGTCTGAGGAACTGGAACGAAGGACCGAGTTCGATGGCGGTGAGAATGAACGCCGAGCCATGGGCGTATCCTACGCAACATTAAATGTCAGCAGACAATTTATAACTATTAGCAGAATGCTTACCTCTGCCTCATCTGCGGAATAGTCACTAGTGCTGGAAATCTCAGTGGAGACTGGCAGTAAACGTCGATATGCGATGTCAGCGAGGTTCTGGTCAGCCCTTGCCCAGTGTGCCTGAGGGTAACAATGCGTAACCGTGACTCTGAAATACTTTGCGTCGCACTCAGCCTCGTCCCTGAAGACCAATTAGGATCCAACGGAGTGAATGCTTCGGTCTCGTCAACAACTCCAAGGGAACTAGTGTCTGAGCACTGTAATATATCAGAAAACCAGAGGTCTCTAAATGACAACAAGGTGGACATATGGACCGTTGGCTGCAAGATGAGAGACATTGGCACTTTCATCAGAAAAATTAGTTGAAGAAGCTCACCTCACTGTTTTGTGACCAACTTGTACACCTCTTGACGCAAGGCATAAAAGCGATCGTCCTGTGGACGATCATTGACGGAGGGAAAAATAACCGACAGAGGTCAAGACCAATATGCGGTGACGGGGAAGCTGTTAGCTCAACGGGGTCGACCAGACAGTAAGTGATAACTGGAGGTACAGTCGTGTACTCTTCCGTCGGGATGGGTGGCAGTGGCTTCTCGATAGGGATTGGTAACTCGTGCAAAGGAGAGAGGTCGGCCTGTCGACGTCTCCATTTTACTCGCTTGGTGAGCGACTTGAAGCGTTCTGTAGAGAAAATACGGTGTTTCTTGGGCGTCTCTATGTCGACAGAGACGAGGTAAGAGACGCTGTGCGGGGCGAAATTGACTGCTGAGGTCGGGTCAGTGGGAGTAGGGATATGAGTGGGAGGTCAGGAAAGTCGTCGAGAATGGGATCCGAGGTATAATTGCCCTTGTTCTTTGGCAAGGACAGTCGCAGCCTCGGTCGCGGAAAGATGGAAACTCGTGAATGGTTTCTGAAGCGGTTGAGCACAGAAACGTCGTTCACGACAGAAGGTGGTGAAGTGCTGCTGTTACGGTTTCGAAACTTTTTCACTTTCCCATAACCACGCCGGCAATTGCCAAGCACACCAGACCACTCCCACGCTACTAACGCATCATAGCAACACCACACCAGCATGGCACTACGCCGACTGACAAGACGCAAGGCTATTGTGAGGGCTCCTACAGGTTACAGCATGGACACAGGACGGACACGAACCATACAACTATTATTAGACACAGTAACTACAGTATTTAAGCAGTGACATGTAGAGGGTAAAACCTCAGCTTTGGACTAAAGTCTAATCTATCCTGGACCTACACCTGAACTCCCCACTCCACGAACTAGTTGCTTGGCTATACACTGGTCCTCTGCAATCAAGACTTACACATCCATTGGTGATTGTCCGAACACAAGACAGCCGGGTGTTGTTTGATCTTGTTTGTAAGTCAGCCACTGACAATTAGTCCAAAGCTCGACACCCCGCTCTCTCTCAGTAACCATCATTGGTACTGAGCTGCTCCATGCAAACTGAACTCCTATAAACAATTATCATCACTGCCTTGCTGGTTGGGACAACCATCCTGATCAGCCTGTTCTTATACCTTCCTCCCCTTATCGCATACTTGGTAGATGTCCACTGTCACCAAAACATTCCCTGAACCCCCCACAGACCCACCATCTCCCTCCCCCTCAGCCAATATGATGTCATCACAAATCCAAATTTCACCTTCATCTGCATCAGCCAGAGCCAAGTCCCAGACATTGAAGAAATCAACCAGGTTTCTCAGTCAGATTAGAAATCTGTTTACATCTCATGCAGCTCCTCCCTCATCCACCTTTCCTGAACCCCTTCCTATGACTCCAACTGGCTCAATGAACCAGGTTACATCCAGAGTCAGGTCCTCCCAACCCTCCCATGTATTCTTATCCCCTGACTTGACTCCCAATGAAGTCTGGCAAGCATCAGCCTCTCAGATTTCCCCATGCCCCCTGGTGAACCCTATGAACATGCTTGGATTAGAAACAGAGGACACTCTCCCCTTTTCAAACTTGTCTATCATGACAGGGATGCCTCTGGGATGCTCAAGAGGTATCTTGCAACCATCAACACCAATTCCTGAACTAGAGCTGAAGGCTCTAATCCCAGTCAAAGAGGTACAAACCATGTACCTCAGCAACACAAAAGATCTTCTGGAATCGCTTTCAGAACCCAGGCTCAGACCAGAGCCTGGACCCTCACACTTCCCTGGGGCCATGAAGACCCCAAGCTCACAAGCTATGAGCTTGTGCTTGACAGACATAGGGTCTATGCTCAACCCCTTTGAGAAAGAGGCAGTACTCAATGAGGAGTATGAAAGAATTTGGCAGGAAAGCTGGTCAACCCTCAGGAGGGAAACCAGCTGGAAGGCAACAGACATGGGGAGGTTATATGAGGCTGCCCCTGAAGAGGAGCAAAACCATATATTCAATTATTTAATTAACCAACAGGCAACCTATCTTTTCAATAAAACCTATCCCAACTATTGCCGACCTGAACCCAGCCCCTACAAATCAATGTGGGAGCAACGACCTTTGCCAGCCAGTCCGCCACCTCAGCTTGCAATGCCAAATCCCTGGGCCGCAGGACTCAGTCCGCATGCCACCCAAAATGACCTCTCAGAACCACCGGCTGTACTCATAGCACCAACAGCACCACCATTGGTCGAACCACATCACAGCTGGCTCCTCCGATCTCTCTCTCGACCGACAGCCCTGACACTCCCTCCAACTATGAGAATGCCACCTCCAGACACCTCACCCGGGTGGCAACCCACCTCTATGGACCCCTGGAACAATTTGAATCCCCAGATCATCGAAACATCCGAGTATTTTAAGGGTGCCAGTGATGATCTCTCTCGGTTCTTCAACGACTGTGAGATGTATTTTGAAGCGTTCCCATTGCACTTCAGCATGAATGCCCAGGGGTTCAATCTCCACCGAATCTTTTTCTGTGCCTCCCGATTCAGGGGAGCTGCCCGCACCTGGTGGGACCTCCAATGTCCCCGCTTCTATGATCCGATCTGCAAACACTGGAGGTACCCATCGTACCCAGACTTCAAACACACAGTCTGGGGACAATTCCGAGAAGTAGCTGAAACCTGGCTGCTAGAGACAAAATGGGAAGGACTCCGGCAATCCACATACAAGAATGCTCCGGAGTTCTTCCAAGAATTTGAAGACCTGGCATACAGGGCTGGGTTATACGACAATGAACAGGCCATGTTCGACCAAGTCGAAAAGGCCATCAGAAGCACGGTGAAGAGCACCATCATGAAGGGTGACAATGGTGCTCCCACCACCTATGCCGAGTGGAAACGGCGGGTCCTGTGGATGGACTACAACTTCCACCTCGAACAGGCCAATGCAGCCGCCAAGAACCAATGCAACAGAAACCAAACCACCACCAAGACTGCCACCTCCAATGCCAACACCAGCACTAACTCCACCAACAACACTGGCAACAAGAAGACCACTACTGGTACTACCTTTGGTGGCCAGAGGGTGAAGCATGAAAGAAAGTGCTTCGGATGTGGAGAGAAGGGCCATCTCAGGAAGGATTGCCCAAAGAAGAACAAACCCAAGTGGTTACAGGCACAAATCTGAGCTCTACTGACCAAACTTGACAAGGTGGCCGAAGAGGACGAGTCGACCACGGTTGCTGAGGACTGTCGAGGCTGATGGGAAGGTCGGCGGCAGTCACGACGAAGAAACTGCTGGATGTGTCGTCGTCCTCGTCGATGCCGACAGCAGGCTGTATGCGACTGTTATGAGGTGAGAGTCGCAAAGAGCCGCGTGGGCGTCTAGCAAATCTCGACTGTACAGAATTGAGAGATGCCATTGTATCTGAGGCAAGTCCAGCAAAAGGGACTCAGAGGAACAGAATCCAAGCAAAGCTTACCTTTTGACTTGTTCTTGAAATTTGGACTCGTGCAGAATAGGCGGCTTCGTCGATAACTGAAAAAAATCGTAATTGGCCGTCTGCCACCGCGTGGCTGCTGTCGATCATGACACGAGAAACTCCTACCGTACTTGCTAATTCTTTACTCTTTCAGATTACTTACAGGAAATGAATGAACGACAATACAAAATTTGGAGTTCTACGAAAGCAATCAGAAAGCGAGATACATAGACGACAAATGTCTCATATTTTACAAGTCCACAAGATCCGGCGTCTCGTTCCGTCCAAGCATCGCGCGGAAACGAGCACACTTCTCTTTCACCCAGCCAATGTGAAGGCTTCCCAAGGTCGGCCAGGGAATAGCTCTGGCAAACCCACCTGCGAACATGATTCCGATGAAAGCCATGGCAATAGAATCTCCCCTAACGCCATACATCGTGCGTTCGTCGTTAAAAGGGTACTCAACGCCAATCCTACGCACCCAGGACCCTTCCCCAACTTGTGTAACTTCTGTGATCCCCTTACCTGATACGCCACTTACTCCGCCATCACCCCCGTCGCACCATAAAATCGTGCTGTCCAGTTCTGCCGCACGCCGTTTTGCTTGTTCCCACATGGCCAAACCTACCGTGGGCTCCCATGTTCTGGCAGGAGCTAGAATAAGAGCTGGTCTAGTGTCAAGCGCAGCCAAAGTCCCGGGGATGGCAAAGTCAAGGCAAATGGAAGCCGTCATCGGAACGGGCCTCGTAAACTTTGGAGGAGGTGCCCAATTCGACTTTTTCATGTCCGATGGATTCTTCATTTCCATGGTATAAATGGTCGCGGGTGTAGTAGAATGTACCAGAGAAAATGATTCGGCAACTAGGGAATATTAGCTTGATGATGAGTGAGAGGTGGAATAACGTACCGGGGACAAGGTGTCGTTTGTAGTATTCCAAATGAGGCGAGGAAGACTTGTTAGAGACAACAGCCATGCCATTTCGTCTCAAAAGGCTCCGGCCAGCAGCATCGGAAGAGTCCTTAACAGACTCTTCAAAGGAGACCCCCACAAAGGATCCCCGGATCGTCTTCTGTACTTCTGCTAAAGCCGCAGCTCGCTGAGACTCGTCCCGAAAGGTGACTGCACCTTCAGGCCACAACAAAACTTGAGCCTGTCCATCAAGCTTCTTGGTTTCTTGCAAATAGTCTTCAAATCTCAACTGGCGATCACGGCGTTTGGGAAGGATACAGCCCACGCTGAACGGCGTGGTATCCGAAGAGTACACAGGAAGCGCAATGTCGGAGACAATAAACGAGGGTATTGTCAAAACTGCTAGGAGAGTGGACAGATACAGAACGCAACGCCACGAAGGCATAGAAGTTGCTGCTGCTTCATTTTTTGAACCCGGACCGCGATTCCCAAGTAACGGCTCCTCTTCCTCAAGGGATTCTGAGCTCATAAGCCACGCTCCAGCAATTTCAGAGATGACGACCGCCCAAGCTGCGGTAATCCAATCATCCATTGCTGGCCCTAGCCACTTTAACATCCAACTGTACCCCATGGTGTCAACGACTGGTGTCCATGAGGTGAGGCGTCCAATCGGACTGACAGAAGATACTCCCCACCATACAGCAGCCCATAATGCGGGAAATAACATGATCTGGGACCATGCTGATAGCAACCGTGATCTGAGTTTGGTGTGAATGTAAAGGGTAGCTAGAGTTATGCCTGAGGTCATTAACCCCCCGAGGAAGAGGAGGGCAAGGGAAGGAGCGCGCGAGGAAAGCGCATGAATGGCTGGTGAAAAGAAAATGATAAATTTGGCGAAAGACAAGTTAATCCACAAGAAAGCAGCCTGCTTGTTTGCACTGGGACGATTCACGAGCAAGGGGGTATAGATGAGAAGAGCAGATAGGTGAAGTACAGCAGGAATAAGAGACGGCGAAGAGGTTGCCAGTACTGCCGTGACAAAAGTTAGAGCATTGAAGACAAGATAAGGATGATCGATTAGAATGAGACGGCGGCTTGACATTCTGTCCTCAAAAGTTTAGTGAGAGTCGAGTGGGCCATGTGTCGAGTCAGTGCCATGTGTGCAACAGTCACGAGCTGACCAATCACCGCGTCTGCGAAATCTTATCTGACAGCACCCCACTATGTTCCAACTACAGTATCTAATCAGATTGATAACAGTTCTAGGCCCCCACCACCCCCGATAAGTCTTGATAAGAAACGATATAAAGGACAGAGGAGACCTCTGACCCCCATCAACCTTACATCCAACTGCTTTTTGATAAACGCCTTCACAATGGTGAGTGACCTTCACATTACAGCAATGGCCCAGCTAACCTGACGATGACAGCCTGAATCTTGCTCTTCGACCACCAAGGAGACCTGTTCCTACCCAAACTGCGCTTGTGGCACCGACCCCACCAAGAACAAGGCCAACTGTGGCTCCACTTCCTGCTCTTGCTCGTCGTACGTCCGGTTCAATTACTCCATGTTTTTCTAAATTGACGCTCTCATTTTCAGTTGTGGCTGCAAGCCCGGCGAATGCAAATGTTGAAGGAAATCGATATGCAGAGAGCGTACAAGAAGAGAAACGTTATCTGTATTGAATGAATCAGCAACTTTATATATGTGCCTTTTGAAATAAGAGAGTTACTCTCACGTCAGCGTCACTGCTCGCCCATAGGCTCAGCTGCCGCAAAAGGGTCTACGGTATCGTCCATCAGTGGTCCTCCCATGGGTGTCTGAAGGTTCCAACTGTGTCGAGTCTCTCCGCCATGGCCCGTAGATCCTGAAAACATGATGGTGCTAAAGCGTTCTACGCGTTCTCGTCTCCGACTGACTGGCAGGGTTGACTCTGAGCTAATAATACCGGAGCGGAACGCAGCATAGCCGACTGCCGTGCGTTTAATCACATTGCGCGATATCGATTTCTGTGCGGGGACGGTAGCGTACAGGCTGATGTCCGAAACTGACACCACAGATATCTCCTGCGAGATATGGATGTTAGTTGTGCATTAACAGCATTGATCACCATGCTTACCTGTGCTTCAGAGATATCCAATGTGGAATCTACATCACCCGAGGATGTCATTGACGGGGGAAGAGCGTCGATACGAGGAAGATCACCGTATGAGAGGCGTGCAATGTCACTCATTACCTGAGAGTAAAAGTGTGAGCCGCCATGGGCTAGAACATCACATATGGAAGCCACTCACCGAACCAGCGACATGCTCTATGCAATCCAGTATAGTGATATCCACCGTCTTTACCTCGCCTTGGTCAATTCCGATTTCTTGAGACTGACTTCTCTCCAACATCGGCAACACAGCGAAAACAGCTTCCAGGCAGGCCTCGAAAGCGACGTATTCGCACAAGTCCGTCAAGAAGAGGAGGATGTCACCAGCAGCCTCAGCTTTGTCAGAGGCGAGGATGAAGAGACCTGTGGCAACAGCGAGTCCAAAGATGACGAGGAAGAATAAGAACCTTTTGCACGCATTTGAGCGAGCGACGGGACAGCACGGTGAGGGGAGGGGATTGGGCGGATATTCTCGGGTTTTCAGCGAAGGACATCCAGATGTTGGTTAGATCCATAAGCATGTCACAGAGACATGTAATAATCAAACGAGACCCAGGGAAAACTTTCTGTAGAACCAATCAGACAACTGAAAAATTCAGTGTGTACTCGTAAGCACCGCACCTGTGAAAATAACTAGACATTAGATAAGCCAAAACAGAATCCTAGGTAGTAATATGCTGTGGAGAAGAAAAAATTGAGTAATTTTCGTGCTAACATTGACCCGGCCTCTTTTGCAAGCCGTTGAAACTGAGTGGTATTGGTATGATATTACTGACCGGCACAAGAGGCTGTGCTCCGGCAACTCCAAGTTTGATACCCGGTCTCTCTCTCTACCACCTCGATGAGCTCGCCTCGTCCTCGCCCATCTGCAAGTCTGATTCGCGACAGTCTCGTACCCGGACGACGACACGTCCTACAGCATCCGCTTCTAGCTGTACCGCATGAAACTCCCCTTCGAAGATGACCGCTTCCTGGGCCTAAATCATCCAGGACACGCGAGTTTTTTGTCCTAATTTCTGTATAAAGAGCCACTGCCAGACCTCGCTTGGCTTCCGTTTGCTGTCATTCTCCTGCTTTCTGAGGAAGCTCACAAATATTAGATATATGCTGCCGTTAGCTCTTGCAAAGACGTGCTTCTTCCTTTGACCCCCGCCACTTGCTTCATATCCTCAGCGCCGCTCTCAAATGGAAGGACCACTCACTCGTAGACAAGGAAGCTAAGCATATTATTGCTCTCTGCCGAACGAGTCGTACAGTTGCTAGACAACGCGTATCTGGCGCCTTGGGTACGTCTCGCCATTTCTGGTCAGAAATTCTGACTGACCAGCTCCAGATTCTATATCTTCGCTGTTGGATATCCACCGCTACCGTGACTCCATCTCCCATCACTGGGAATGTACAAAAGACCAAGTCGGCACTTAACCACGGCGTCTCATCAAACGTTGCGGCAGCTTTCGAAAAACAAATCGATTTGCTTGTTAAGCAGTGTTCATTGAAAATTTCACAAGTGCATGTATCTCATGTTGATCTTCAAAACGTATCTTGAACGCGCATACACAGGACCAGCACTTACCAATCCGCTTCCGTTGCATCCAGCATTCGACGAGGCCAGCACAGAAGAAGAAAGTCACTTCACAAGAACGCATCCTATTGGACCCCTGGTAAGCAACAAGTACCCTTTGCGGATGTGCAAAGTTGCTCATATAGCTGGCATCATTGTTTAGATGCTGCTTCGACAGTGTTCCTCGGAGCCAAGACAATAGGTTCACAGCCTTCTCCTTCAAGACAAACAATATCGGATTACTACTCAACGAGCGATGACTGTGTACGCAGTCTAATTCCGCATGTGACCGGGAGGAAATGATGTGGGGACGGCTCGGTATTGGGTTAGGCGAAAGACCAGTGGGTATTTCAGACTTCCTTAGGTGGGTTGATACTGACTCTTTCTCTCTGTGAGATGTCGTGAGGCCTGATTCTTTAACATGGTGAGTGTAGTGCTATGAGCTCTTTTAATTACACCGTTACAAGTTATATGTTCCGCAGCAAAACCTCTTCCACCATCAATTGTTTTCAAAGTAGTAACGGCCTTCAAAATAGACGTCAAAGACGAAAAAACGACTATCGAAGAACTCCGATAACCTCCCGCAATCCACGAGGTTGAAAATCCAACACTCGACTGTCTCCAATAGACTCATCTTACCGTGCTCAAGCTTGACGACATTCAGTAGAAGAACGGCAATACTCGGTACACAACGATAATGTATGCCTAACCTTCTGTGAACACTTGGTCAAAACTGAAGCACGCCGCCGCCACAGTTCTACTCGTATTTACCCTGCATCGTGCTCACATCTAGTATTGATCCCGCCTCAAGTATGGCAAGTCGTTCATCCCCTGGAAGGTGCAGTCGCTGACCCGGTGTCAAACTTCGGGTCAGGATCAGTCAGACTGAATAGGCGCTCATGCGTGCTCTGGCTATGGATATTTATCCTCAATCGCGAAATTGCAGGTGCAGTGGCGATTGGGTGGTGTCCGAGTCTTCAACTGCTAAACGTGACCTACCGTGACGCCGATGTTTTCGATACTGCTCTTCTATGCCATCCAGAATGCTTGCCAAGTTTTGCTCGCTTATACTAGGAAAAGATTAAGGATGTTTATAGTTTTGCTGACATTCGCGGCGTACCGGTTGGGTTATCAAGCACGAGAGACTGGAGGTCCAAGCGCCTGTCTCGTACATGGTTCCGTGGCGGTGATGATGGCTGAGTGTATCTTCCTCTGTATAGCCTGTGAACCGCCGGCTTGACATTGTGATGTTACCGTGAACTCTTACTTTATCCTTTCCCTCTTTCTCTTTCTCTGACTCTGTTTTCAGTTTACGGTGCAGAAGTCCCTAAGCATATGATGGTCGACGGCTGACATCAGGCTGGGTAATGGACAAACTTTGAGTTTACCCTTCTTGATGCAAATGGAGCTCTCATAAATGGCGTCTTCGACTAGCTATCGCCGTTCTCCCAGGATGCTCAGAGTGATATTCTAGATCTTGGTTGTATGGCATAAAACTTGTTCATTCATTTTACATCGTCAATACCGCTATTGGCTTGTCTATTCTCTCGTCGCACCATACATCTGGTCCATATTTCCATCAACTGCTCCTTTTCAAACCTTCTCATTATTATGGCTGATTGTTTCTTTTTTGTGCATATACATGTCACCAGAGGTGTGACCTTTTTATTCTGGAATATTTGTCCGACAGCTTGAGCTTTGGCTCTTTGTATCTCGCACTCGCAACCCACTTCGCCACTCAGACCTCCTTGGTGCCTTCATATTTCATGTGTTCTAGTACACACCGCCATTAATTCCTTCATCTCGCAGTACTCGCTCACCACCTACGAACAACCCATTGTCCATTGTTTGCCGCGACATATCACTGTAGCCCCCCTCATACTCATATGTCTGTACCGTAGTTTCATAAGCTTGGTACGAACCATAAAGACCAATGGCATCTGGGGCAAAATCCAAGGCTTGCGGAACTGGGGATACATATTCCGATGGGTACTGCCAACTGAAGGGTTGACCATTGGAAGTATCGTCAGGCGCATTGAATGTATCGTGATATGTAACTCGATCTGGGGTGAAAGCCACGTTGGAGTAGGTTGCTGCACCAAAGGAATTATCTGTGAACGACATGATTTCTCCTCTTTCCTGAGGCCGGACAGCACGAAAGTTATTGTCAGGGAAGCGTACTGTCTGCAGAGTGAAGTGCTACTGTTCAGCTTGGGGTGTGTAATTCGGACTGACCTGTTGGAAACCGATCTGCGTGGAGGGAGCCCAAATTAGGTGTTCGCCATGTCTTGTTGCATCGGGGATGGGTGGAGATTGGGCCTGGATACCATCTGGATGTACGTTGGGACCGTAGGGTATGTTCGATGAGGACGACGGCAAGTCAAAATTGTACGTCGGCATGAACTGGAGGGTGGAAATATCGGTGGGCGATGCAGTGGCAAAAGACCCCGCCGCGTATCGGTTCCACGAGCGCGAGGGATCGGCAGTGTACTGTCTCTCCAACACGACCCCATCGTAGATCGTGTGTAAAAGAGGGGGGGCAGTTGAAGGGTGTAGCGATGTCGTGTCCTCGAGGTGAGGGTGGGTGGCAGGAGTTTTGGTGGTGTCCAAATAAGATGCGGGTTTAATTGTGCTCTCCAAGGCGGACGACGATGCTGTCACGCCCCCATGATACTGGTTATAATGGCGGGGGAAACCAACCTTGGTATCTGAACCCCAGTCGCAGCCTGGACCGGTGCACTGGTACTTTTTATTTCCAGAACTATGGGATTGAGTATGAGGTTCCCCTTAGACGTGAATAGAACATATCGAACAGACGTACTGATGTTTCCGTAGGTGGCAGATGAGGTTGGAGTTTTGCGGGATATCGCAACAGGACAGCCTATCACAAACGATGAATGCAGGTTACACCACTGAGAAGATGGTAAGCGCCCTACTTTGGACCTCTCGTGTGAGTTATTCCATGCCGAATGAGGTCTATTTTCCTTGAAACGGTTACCTTGCATCCACGGATGCCGCACGCAATGCGACTGTCCCGTGTAGCCATGCCGAAGTGCGAAACCTGATTCACAGAGGGCGGGGAGGGAACAAGGGAAATGGAAGTAGTCTGGTGGCCTGGGTGGGGTGTTGGGAAAAAACAAACAAACATGCGGCCCTTTTTAACCACCCTCCGAGTCGCGTGGATGAATTGGTTGGGCGGCCCAGAGTTCATTTATTTCCTATTAAACCAACTATATAGTCAAGTGGCAACCAATTCGAAGGAATAGCTATTATGAGAAGGCGAAGTGACTGTTTTTTTTTTTTTCAATTTTAGAGTCGGAAATTTGACTTGTGAACAAGGGAAAACAATGTCGCTATTGATAAGGCCTCCCAGGCTCTAGGTATTAGTCTGGGAAAATTCAAAAAAATCCGATGCCTGCTGGTACCCTTATATAGATTCTGAGTCAACCTTACACTGTAGAATTTAAAGGTCTCCAGAGATGGGGCTTCCTCAGGCTGAGCCGGAGCCGAGTTACTTATTTCAAGATGTTCTCTTTCAGTATTGTCAATGCTCAGAACCAGCTGTTGGATTAGCAAGCAGGAGCTCCATCATATCCTGCTGGCCAAGCTCAATACCCCTTTATGTTGGGATGGACTATATATATTGAATACAGTCTGTTGAGCACCCTCACTGCATTTCTGCTTATCGCTATGCTGTGTGAGGGTGAGTATCTACTTATATTACTTCATTTATGTCACTGATTGGTATTCTGTAGTCTATGTTATAGATGAATGGGAGAAAGATGAGGCTGTAGCCAAGAACCTCCTGCTCTCGAAGATCCCTGACTCAGTCACTATGAAGATTCAGCATCTTCCCACAGTTGCTGTAGCCTGGTCAAAGATTGAAAAAGAGTTTACCGATAAGAGCGGCTATGCACAAACCGACCTTTGGCAGCAGTTTATGGAGTCGCATTGCCTGGCCAAAGGCAATGTTTGCAAGTTTCTTGACAGTCTGTCAATGAAACGGGAGTCATTAGCTTCCATCAGTGTCATCATCAAGGAGAAGGATTACCACTCAATGATTCTCACCTCTATCCCTCCCTATCTTGCCAAGCATGCATCGACTCTCCTTATGGCGGCAAAGCTTTTTAGTTCCAACAAGGAAGTCGATTCCGAGAACCTGATCCATGCCATTTCTGAGGAATACAACTGACTGGAGTGTGAGCGAGCCAAGCATAGTCAGCAGTCTGGAAAGGGAAAGGACTTGGAGCAAGATAAAGCCATGTCTGTTTCATCAAGCTCAGGTGGCAATAAGAAGGGCAAGAAACCCAGCAAGAAATTGTGCTGAGGATGTGGGAAAGAAGGACACTTTAAAAACAAATGCCCCAAGAAGAAGTTGTCAGACAATGACAGCAAGGCCTCTGGATTGAAGGGTGAAATAGCCAATGTGGCTGAGGAATCATCGGATTTAGACTGGGAAGCCAGTGATGCATTCAGAGTTGATGATGCTAGCAACATGCCATCACTGGCTGCAGTTTCTGAGTCAGACAAGTCTGAAGTTGAGGGCTTATCAGAGGACTTGAGAGATGAAGACGATGGTACCAACCTTTTTTCAGAGGTTGGTGATGAGTTGTGGGATGAGCTGAGCAGTGCATTGTCCTCAGATGTTGACTGGAGTGATGTGAACTCCTTTGTTGACAAGCAATCGGATGCCACATCTGGCATGCTGACCTTGGAGGATGTATCTGCTTCTGAAGAGTCAGTTGCAGCTGTTACCAACACTGTAAACTCACCTGATGTTCAAATTCATACTGAACTCTACGACTCTGGCTGTATATGCCATATTTTCCCTTACCGCAATGATTTCAACTCGTTCCAGTCTGTCCCACCCAAGGCATTCCATGCTGTGAACACTCAAAAATTTTCTGCAGCTAGAAAGGGCATGATGAGCATTGATGTGCCAAATAGTGCAAATGCGAGCAATCTGCAACTCACTAAGGTCATGTACTCTCTCAAAGTTGGCTATACACTCATTTCAGTTGGCCAACTTGATGATCTTGGTTTCAAGTTGACTTTCAGTGGTGGAAAATGCACCATCCATGCACCAGATGAAAAGATTGTTGGGGTTATCCCAAAAGATGATGGTGGCCTATATCAGGTTCATCATAAGAGAGATTTGGCTGGGACAGCTGAGGAGGTGCTTACTCTAGATCAATTGTATTGCCACATGGGCCACATTTCATCTGAAGTTGCTCGCCATCTGGTTGAAAAAGGCTTTGTGACTGGAGTAAAGCTTGACAAGTCATCTGGAGAACCACAGTTCTGCAAGTCATGTGTCTATGCTAAAGCTACACAAAAGCCAGTGTCTAAGGCTCGAGAGGGAGAACGTGCAACTAATATTGGAGGTGAAATTCACTCTGATTTATGGGGACCTGCACCTGTAGAATCCCTGCATAAATGCTGTTACTTTATCTCTTTCATTGATGACAGCACTCATTGGGCTTACCTTGAATTCTTATGCCAGAAGAGTGAAGCTTTCACAGCATACAAAGCCTATGAAGCTTGCATCTGCACTCAGTATGACTGCCCTGTAAAAATCCTCCATTCAGATCATGGAGGTGAATACTTTGACAAAGCATTTGTCTTGCATCTGAAAAATGCCAGCACAGCAAGGAAGATGACTGTGCATGATATGCCACAGCACAATGGGGTGGCTGAAAGGTATAATCGCACAGTTATTGAAAAAGTCAGAGCTATGCTGCATTCGAGTGGCTTACCTCGCTTCCTATAGGCTGAAGCTATTCATTATGCTATCTGGATCCTCAACAGAACATCGACAAAAGCTCTAGATGGGATGACTCCTTATGAAGCTGTCACAGGGAAGAAGCCAGATCTAAAAGGGTTGTGGAAATGGAGAGAGAAATGCTGGGTATACCTTGAGACTAAGGCTATAAAGCTGGGTGGCCATATACATGAAGGTCGGTGGATTGGATTCGACAAAACAAGCAATGGATCCTGTGTCTACTGGACAGAGAGCAAGATGGTGTTCATCAAGCAAAATGTCTATTTCGACACAACTCATATTACCACTGATGATCTTGAAGGAGAGAAAGACATTGAGCTACATAAGATTCTGTCAATGCCAAAAACTCAGTCCAATCCACCTACTGCAAAGCCATCACAGGTGTCATCTACCTCTGAAGCTCAGCCTACAGTCCAACCCATAGTTGAAGAAACCTGTTCTGGACACACTCAAAAGCCTAGCCAGTGGGTGCTGGACCTCATCTCCAGCAAAGGCAGTGTATTGGCATGCCCAAGCAATTCTGTGGTACCTGTTGGTGTTCAGTTACCAGTTGCCAATGAAAACAATGAACCTCTCAAGTTTGAGGGAGAAAGAGAGGCAGATTGGTTGATGATACTCGAGGATGCTGACTTTCTTGAGGAGTATGCCATGGCCATTTCAACAGCTGATGCAGAAGTCTTAGAGTCATGCAGTCTAGCTGAAGTGAAGTATCAGCCTGATTGGCCTTTGTGGAAAGGTGCAATACAGGAAGAGCTTGTGATATTGAAGACTGCAGAGACTTGGAAAATTATCAAAAAACCAGTTGGAGCAAATGTCATAGGCTCAAAGTGGATCTTTCGAATCAAGAAGAATGCTGAGGGAGGCATAGTCAAGTTTAAGACTTGCTTGGTAGCACAAGGGTTCTCACAAGTATCTGGTATCGACTACTTTGACACTTATGCCCCTGTTGTAAGGCTTGCATCTATCCATTCTGTTGGAAATCCTTGGTGATGCGCAGAGTAGACTCCAGACTGATAAGATCAGATATATGAACTTATTATTCTGCAGCTCCTACAGAGCTTGTATTTATACTCTCCAGGCTTGTATCTAGAATTTACTACAACTTTCTCTTTCTCTCAGGCTTACTCATCAACTCTTGGCATGATGCTGGATTGCTCTTTCTAGAACTTTCCAGCAAAATCCCAACACATTCAATCCTTGCTATAGCTGTGGCACTCGATCTAGAGCTCCATCAAGTCGATATCAAGGGTGCATACTTGAATGGAAAGCTCATCAATGAAGAAATCATTTACATGCATCAATCTCCTGGCTATTCTGAGCCTGGCTCCCATCCTGGTCAAGTCTGCCATCTCATAAAGACTCTATATAGTTTGAAGCAGAGTGGTCATCACTGGTATCAATGTCTCATTGAGATTTTGGTGGTGCAGCTGAGATTCAAGCAGTACGACATTGATCAAGCCATGTTTTACAAGCAGGAAGGCTGAAACTTGACTATCATTGCTGTCCATATTGATGACTGCACCATTGCAGTATCATTATTGCATCTAGTGTGAGAGATAAAGAAAGGTATAGCAAAATACATGGAAGTCATGGATTTGGGGAAGCTGCATTGGATTCTCAGCATCAAGATCATGCATGACTATGAGTCATGCTCCATTTCTCTTTTTCAATGCTCGTATATCAATGCCATTGTTCATCACTATAGCTTTGAAGACCTCAAACCAGTCTCTACACCAATGGATATTAATCTCCGTTTGTCTTCCTTTTCTGCATCAGCCTCCACCTGAGAAATTGCAGCCATGAGAGATGTCTCTTACAGAGAGTCTGTTGGCTCTTTGATCTGGATTATGCTCAGGACACACCCTGATATCACATTTGCTATGACAACAGTCTCAAAATATTCAATGGCTGCTGCAGAGGCTCATTGAAAGGCTGTAAAGCACATCTTTTGCTATCTGAAGGGCATGAGGGATTACCAGCTGACATTTGGGAGAAACAGAAAGGTTTTGCATAGTTATGTGGATGCTGATGGGAGCATGGCAGAGGATAGGCATGCTATTACTGGGTACACTTTCATGCTGAATGGTGGAGCTGTTTTGTGGTCATCTAAAAAGCAGAAGATCGTCTCACTTTCAACCACTGAGTCTGAATATGTGGCTGCAACTCATGCATCGAAGGAGGCACTCTGGCTTTGCAGTCTGCTCTCTCAGGTTTTCTCACCAATTACTGAGGCTACAACTTTATTTTCAGACAATCAGTCTGCTATTGCACTCTCAAAAGATCATCAGTATCATGCCTGAACCAAGCATATTGACTGTTGTAAGTAGAGAGCAGAGTAATGTACAGAGAACTAGAATTAGCCTC